ACGATCATCTGTTAAGGCCAATCAAACATCAGAAACAAAACATTTCACATGAAATAACCATCTGATTACAAAACATATAAGTAACTATTGTGCGTTTCACGCAGAAATCGCCAAAAAAGAAATGTTAAAAAAAGGTTACCTTTTTTGAATGCATTATCCTTGGGTAAACCTTTCGTTCGGCTAGCCAATAAAATCAGCAAGACAAAACTAAAAATTGTGAATGCTGGAGTTGTTCCTTTTCGTGACTGTAACTTCCCTGTCATGTTGTATAGTTTAGTGTACCACCTTTAGGTCTTTACATATGCACAAGTAAGTGAGCTACAGTCCAATCACGAAAGGTCGTGATGCGATCAATGATTTTAATTTATTAAAGGTTGTGAGCATTATCGATAAAGTTTAGTATATATCATAACCATGTATTGTAAGGATGAGTAGGAGGAAATGAATAAGTTATAGGCTTAATGTTGATAATGCCTTACTCATGTGCACTCATACAATATTTACTGACTAACTGCTAATGGAAGGCAACTCTCAATTCTGGTAATTCAAGTCAGTAAAGGAGGTTAATACCTAAAATATATAAGGTTCATTTCAATTGATAAAAGAAAATATATCTAAAAACACTGAAACGATTTCTAAATTGAAAAAGGGTATGATAAAGGTATAAAATCTAGGAAAAGTCCTCTACAGATGTTTTCTTAATCTAAAACCGGTGTAATAACTGTTTCTAATTGAAGCTGAAACCAGTTCACGACCGAAACATTGTTAAATCAAATATATACACTCATATCTTAGTACCTAGTAGTCACATGCACGTTCAATGAAAACGACAGACGACACGAACACTTTTAATCAATACTTTGATATATATTGACAAATACTCTTTAATGCGATATATCGATATCAAGCTTAATGCTCCGGAGTGGCACACTGGTAGGACCCTGGTCCCGGATAGTACAGCCTGCGGCGAACGATTCCCTGGGTCGTAGTTTCAGCTGCCACAAATCGACAAGTCAGACCCTGGGCACAGCTACAATGTCCGTTCATTTTATCGAAAGGACTACAAGGCGTTCCTGTGGGCTGGAAGTCCTCACAAACCCCTGTTTTTTAAAACATACATTAATAATGAGAATGATCCTTTTTAGGATAATTATATTAAACTAAGAATGTATTTCTTGTGACCAAAGAAATCCCAGTTCTTTCAATGTTTTAGTTTATGCTTCCCTATCTCAAGATTCTGCTGCAGTGAAAAGAGAAAATGCTCCTCCTTTTTTCCATCAGGAAAATAACCGAAGCTTGAACAAACCGTTATTTGAACTAAAATTCGATGAAACTACAGCACAATATGAATAAGGGAGACAGATTTACATGGAGACCGTTGAAAAATCCAAGAAGAAAAAAAACCCAAGTGTTTCGGATGGGTACGTGTCATTGGCTTTGTCGACTTCATTCGTCATACAAATCCCAGTAAAACCTAAATATCAAAGACAAACGGGATATTTACAATGAAACCATAAGACAAACTAATAAACACAATAAAAAAACATCACCCTTTATATCAAGATTAGATTTGCCCAAGCTGTAATTATGTCACCCTGTTGAACTGACTTACAGAAATCTTAAACAGTATCAAAGACGACTGTTGTATCAATAAGAATTCCAAAGGTTATGTTTAACTGTTGTTTGAAAGGTTCGGTAAATGTTGTGTAAAATTTCATTTTAAAATTGTTATAATACAAATGTGAAAAACCAGATTAGCAAACCTTTATGATTGACAAGATCATCAGGCAGCTGTCGTCTGCTCACAATAAGAAACTGAGGACGTTTGTAGCAGCACTGGTTAGCACCACAGTTCGAGTCGGACATGCAAGGTGGCTAGATACAAGCAAAACAATAAACAAATAAAAAACCGATGGAATTAATCGAAAGTGTCACTTTGGAACACCATTACTGTATACAAATATGAAGTAACCGATAAACTATAACGTATCATATCTCTGTTATGAAGTCTATATGTTTTGTTCTTTATAAAAAAAACTGCAATTATATCACAACACTTCATTTAATATTAAATAATGCTGTTATACAATGAGGATAACTTGTGTCTTCATGTGTTCATTGTAGAGGATATAACTGTGATTTAGACATGAATAGCTCACACCACTGAGCCTTGAAGAGAATCTTGTCAAGTTAAAGAGTCCGATCTATATGCCGGACACTTTTTCAGTAATCCAATGTAATGTCAACATAAGGATTCTATTTCATGTAAAGTGATTGGTTTCACGACTTCTTAACATCCGTCTTGCACATTGCTAATATCTTTGTTGCTATACCAATGAAAAAACACCTCCCTACCTATCACTCTGATTACTAGTTAGTCAAGAAACCATTGGCCTTTATTATCGGTATGTCAGAGCTATACAGTTTACTCGAAATATATAGAAAGAGCGAGCTGACGTCATCAACACTCTTATATACACATACATAAGTTTCCTTTTAGAGAGTTCTTTAGGGATATGTTACTCTATAGCTATTCATGTTATCAAGAAAAAGACGCAGAAGCATAAATAGGACACAATGAATAAATCAATCTTTATAACTTATGTTGTCATTGCCATTGTCAACAAACGGTGATAGAATAACAGTAGATATATACTTACGTTTGCACATACAAGCGTAAGTACAGCAACAGTAAAAGTAATCACCACAAGTTTCCACATGGTGTAACAGAATAATGGCTGTTCCTATAGTGCTTATCTAATGTAACACGTATCAACCTGATAACGGTACAGGTGACACAACCATTCATTGGAAGGCTTTCTTTCAGTGGGGATCCGATTGTCATGTTTACACACCACCGTCCATTTGGGTGTCCGTGAGTATATATGCATGCATATTTTAAAATATGTGCATCTTATAATATGTTAACTGCTCTAATCTGCATGTAATTTAGGGAAGTTAAGCTGCAGGTTTTCGAACTTATGCCTGAGTAATTGATTTAGACAGATACAATACAATATATTTAAATTAATGGTACAAATGTGTCATTTTACAAATTAAAACTTAATCAAACAATTGCAACGGATGATATGGAAAGTATAACAAAAGCTGGTCGGATAGCGTGGTTATGTCAGATACACTAATATAAGTTGATCTTGTTAGTTGATCCTTAACCTGATACGTCTTAGATATATTTTACCTGACGTCTATAACTAAATGTATAGAAAGTTATGGCATACATGCAGTAAATAGAATACATGAAGAAATAACATTAAATCAAAGTCCCTTATAAAAGACAAACAAAGCAACAGATTTTGTATGAAACATGATTTATTTCATAATAATTATTCTCATGCTACTTAAAGAGTTTCTACAGGTCTTAAAAACGCATTCTAAATACCAATGTCCCGGAAACAGTTGTATAATAGTAATGCCTCAGAATCTTTTGTTCAATATTAATGCATCGCAATCAATTGTGCAATATCAATGTCCTAAATCAACTGTACAAAGTAGAAACACGTAAGAATAACGTGGCGTGACTGTTTCATTTTTCATATCAAGATTTAGTCGTGAAGTTTATACCTACATGTGTGCATCGAGAAGCAGTGCCGTCTTACAACAATAAATGTCAGGTAAGTAAACCACAACAAAAAATAATTAACAATCCTTATCCATATGAGTTGATTTAAGATATTGTCGTTACTTTTCTTCTATTTCTTTCATTTTCCAAACAACTGGAATCAGGTACGCAGATAGGCTTTTTTACGATGATTTATTTGTAAAAACAAGGTACCGTGTGTTATAAAATATAATTCTTATGCTTACGTACAAATGGGTTCACACTGTGTTTGGTAAAATTCCACAATAGGAAAGTTAGAGAAAGTTATGGTTAACGAAAGAAATATAGAGAAGAATCGTGTTCAACGATTTCAACGTATATTTATTTAACTACGCGTAGAAATATCCTGGCTTTGACACAACTAACCATCAAAAGATATCGGATTTCAACCTAATAATTGTACCCATTATATCATACTATGTACTTAATTACGCAAAAAATATCTGACTACCGCAAGGAAACCATAATGGCAAAAAATATCAGGAAGATTTCTATGTCAATAAATAAATAAAACAACTAGCAAAAATCTTGAAGATTTATAATAACATTAGTGAACCTGTGTGTACCTCTGTACAAATTTCCAATATACACGATTTTTCACCCAGCACATGTAATACTAATGGCACTTAACAGATTCACAGGCCACACCGCCATACCGGCTGTGTATGTTGGAGCGACATGATATTTACATGTAAGTATATCTAGACTACATAAATAACAGCAAACTGGTTCAGTCATAGTTAAATCGGACTCCGATTTCAAAACACAAGTCATTGATAAACAAACGTCGAAAAAATTATGTAATTCTCAACAACAAAATACATTATTTCAAATAATATGAAGACATGTCACATGGAGTACTGGTATATCTAGGAAAATAATGAACTTCTTTGGCTCAGTAGTGCCATCTTAGACTAATGGAGGTTAGGAACAAAAAAGGTACTGACGTGCACACGTAACTTTTTCCAATCGAAATAAAATGCTTCTTTTCTTTTCATTAAATTCGCCCTTATGCATGTTCCTTATCCTTTTCGATTAAAATCGAAATCAGTCTCCAATGTAAATGATATTTGAAGTGTGTTTTGTAAATGAAAAAATAAATCATTTTTCAATGTAAAACTGTTTTCAGTGTAAATCAATGTCAAAGACAGTTTTCAGTGTAAATCAAAATAAAAGTAATTCTTAACCTAATTTATAAAGAAAGTCTGTTTTCAGTTTAAATTCAATGTTGAAAGATTGTATAAGGCTTTACTTAAATATTGGTGCCCGCTCATTTGCACTTTTTTGAAAATAAAAAGGCGCCATAGCTATTTCCAAGTATTAAGGATGTTTTGAACTTTTCATGAATAATACCAGTGTAAAAATCACAACGACTGCCAGCATAAAAACAAAACAGTTGTCTTAGTTTTGGTTGCATAATTAGTAGCATCAGTAAAGTAAACGTATACATGTATTTAAACATTATGACTTATCACCCTGTTCAGTTCGATTAACATATATATGTGTGTGACCTACGAATTCTGGATGTATATATTTAACTGTTAACGTTAAAACAAGGTTAAAGATGAGAATCATTGTATTTGAAAATACACCCGTCCCGTCCTATGCCATACAATTGCATTCATGTGCCACTATTTAGCTTACAGACCGTTAGAATCGGAATGTTAAACGTATCAAAATACTGTTTGTATGCTCTTTAAATTATCCCATAATATCATACTATTTTCATGTCGTATACCCCATAATATCATATACTTTGTATGTTGTATACCCGCTTTTCATTCGTTTCAACACGAAAGATATGTCAATAACACGGAACAAATAGGGTCGATAGTATATTAAACTATTTTGAAAATAAAATATCACTGTTTTGATTCTTATAGCATGGTATACGTAGAAGAATGCAATATTTACATGGTTTTAATACGACTACAAACACCCATCCATAATCAACTCAAACGCAATCACGTATATCATTCCAAAACGAAATAAGTTAGTTCATGTACAAGAATGACTGGTTTTTAAGTACATAGCTGTTCACTTTCATTAAAGTTTATATATTCAATCAGAACTGTACTTCAGTAAGAGAGATTTTCAAGACTAAAATACTGCTGCGAACAAAAAAATATGTCTTTATCATTTCTGTCAACAAGCGACAGTATCTGTAAGTGAACGTCAACCAACATTAGCTAGACCAACAACAGTCCTCTTTGAAGAAAGGGAACCGAGATCTAATTCAGTTTAAGCTGATAACACAGGAGTGTGACCTCCTGTTGTTAATCAGGCTTTTGATGTCACGTTATATGAACATGAAATGTTTGTCTTTACATGTCACTGACACTGGTATATAGAGAGATTGCGATCCAAATGTGTTAGCCATATGACAGAAAGCTACCATCGCTTTAAGAATTACTCATTCTCGACATTTATTCTCCGATTAGGTTCGGTAGTTTTGTTATCCTTGCTTCTAGTCGATCTCTTTATCTTATCTTTTTGTGTGGACTTGAAGAATGTGGGATCCGCAGCCTTTTCATATTCTCTGGTGCCGTCATAGATGTCAGGCTCCTTATTCTTCTTTCTCCGTCTAGACCGTTTCTTCTTTCTGTCTGTTTCTGTACCTGTTGATGTCATATTCAAGGGAGGTAATTGTCCTTTCCTTCCAGTTGGCGTTGGGAGTACCATTGGATCGAGAAGAACTTCTTTACTTCCTGATCTATCAGTATCCAAGTCCTCCTCCTCGGTACGTGGGGTTTCCGGTCTATCTTCATCTGGACGTACAGCACGTGACATCCGCTTGTAGTAAAACACAAAACCAACTAACAGGGCAATTATGACTACAAGGGCGACAACTCCAATAATAATAAGTATGAGCCTAAAATCTGACCCTTCCTCGGCTGTAGACTTGCCTGCGTCTGGTGGCAAATGCACTGTATTGTTATTGAGCGTAATCAGCATAGGAACAGTCTGCGAAAGTTGTGTGGTTGTATCAGGGCAGGTCTCTGTTGCCTGAATTAAATGTAGATAATATATATCTATATATAACTGATTAATACTTTATACTTTATGAAAATGGAGATATCACATCGATCTCATTATATCATTTTTTATTGTAAATTTAAGTACTTTGCAGATATATGAAAAACTCTTAACAGTTGGATGTGGCTTGTATATAATAAATAAAAGTTTCTTTGTAATACCAACCATATCGTGATATAAGAGTAATGCTTTAATAAATGTCAAAGCGTACATTTAGCGGGAACATTGTACCAGGTGTTTATTGAAGTGTATACCTGTATTTGGATTACGTCTGGAGCGGAGGTGACATCCTCGATTTGACTTAGTTCACCAGTAGTAGAATCAATATTTAAAGATTGACTAAACGGCCCACCTTAACAGACAAACGAAAAACACGAGTTTTAGAAACATGTCTACATCACAACAGAGGAAATATTTAAAATACCAAACATTGTTCATATTTCACAGATGTGATATGATGCCTCGCTGTTGTAAAAATCCATTTCACTGTTAGTTGTTAATGTTTCTATAAATGCTGCAATAAGAAAAAACGCAACGCTCTGGTCAGTAAAAGACACCCCAATAAAAACTCATAAAGCAAATTATAAAAATACACATAGCAGGACCTGATTCTGTATTCTAAGATGGCATTTGACATACGTGCCGATAACATTCCGCCGTTCAAATGCCGATATTTGAGGACCTCCCATACCATTTGTGAAATGGAATTGATTTTGTGATTTTCAGTTTCTTTATCAATTTTATGAAGTTGATAACTTTAAGATTACACATTTGTAATAATGTGTATACCAAACAATATTTGTGATACATTTTGTGATTATGTATAAATTGATATTATACAATTAGTGTAAAACATTGTATGCTTATATATACATTGAAATAATACAATTAGTGTGAAATAGATTGTATGATTATGTATAATTTGATATTATACAATTAGTGTGAAATAGATTGTATGATTATGCATACATTGCTATTATACAACCAGTGTTATTATATATATCTTATATGCTAGCCATACCGGTTGGTATTTGTGAGAAATAAATTTCAAATAAATAAGGCGGCTGTGAAAACGTTAATGCATGATTACCACTTTGTTATTAAAAACAATTAATGTATGAATTAATCAGTAATCTTAAGTCTGAAAAACAATGTGAGCGTGGTCTCCCTTGGAGAATGTTTTGTACTTACTGTCGACGAGACTATATATGACTGAACAATTGATGGAGACATCCTGGTCGACAGCATGAATGGCAGACGGGGTTACTGTCAGTTTTCCCTAAACAGCGTAACAATAAAATAAACAATGCATAGTATACCATTTTATATCAGGACGTCAATTACATTAACGTGCATTTGTTAAAAATCAAACTTTTAAAAATAATTATCAGAAATAGAAAGAAATGACGAAAGTTTCCTTGTTTATCTAACAAACCACGTATCGGGAGAAGTTTTTACAAAGCCATGTGATGGTAAATTGGTAAAAAGTTATACCAATAAGAAAAACGAAAATAAGTATACATCGTGGTAAAGCATTATGCCATTCCTCTTGTAATAACCTTATAAAACCAGATTTAAACTTACTCTGTGTTTAATGCTTGTATGAGATGTATAAGAAAACTCGTCAAAAGCAGGAGGTAAGTCGTTCACATCCTTGATATTTATTCGAAGTGTTGTCGTTGTTAAACGATTCTGTGGATCCTGGAATAATAAACAGAGTACTATTACATACACGTTGATTCTGTGGATCATGGAATAATAAACAGTGTACTATTACATACACGTTGATTCTGTGGATCCTGGAATAATAAACAGAGTACTATTACATACACGTTGATTCTATGAATCTTCGAAAAATAAGCAGTGTAATATTATAACAATGTTGATTCTCTTGATCTTGGAATACTAAGCAGTTTAAAATAATAGCCATGTTGATTCTCTGGATCCTGGAAAAATAAACAGTATACTTTTATATATGCGTTGATTCTGTGGATCCTCAAAAAATAAACAGTGTAATATTATAATCATGTTGATAATGTTACATAAGCCTACTTATAATCTGATACTAGTATATATTGATATATATGATCTGACATCATCATATATATATATATCCTGACACTATTATATACATAAATTAGCACCAGTATATATAAATAATCCAACACCATTTATAACCTAGCACTCATATGTAGTATACATAGTTAATATCAATACAATATGACACTAGTTCATATATAACCAAACCCTAGCATAACTATCATAATACACGCTGACAAAAGTATATGTTTTATAAATATTAGTGTTGCCTTTCTTTTAAACGTTGGGTTCAAAATTATCATTGATGTATTATATGTAAAACTAATTTGTATGATAGTTTAGAGTACGAAAAATGTTTGACTAGTCATTGGCGCATCTACACTAAAGTGTGTTTAGATAACGTTTTGAACATTCAAATGAAACAAATACACCAAAACCTTTCGCCAACAATACCTTACTAAACGTTACTTAGTTATACTTACAGTTACTCTCACGTTAACCATGAAGTACACCGGCCGTCTTACAGCATACTCTTTGTCAAAGTCTACTTTCTGTTTCAAAACGACGTCCCCAACACTTCCCAGCCTGATCTCCACCACGCTTATCCCGTTAACCTTCCAATCAATAGTGGATTCATCATCAAACATTTACAGTTTCGAATATCATTCAAATCTCTAGTACACTTGTTACAAATACACACAGGTAGTATAAGACACACACCTGATCTTGTGACCACAGTAACCAGAACGTAAATTTCCTAACAAGGAACGTTTGTGGTCAGTGGAGGTTTAGTGTCGGAAGTAGATATGTAAATTTCAACCTTTCTAACATGTTCGAATTATTATAATTGTTATAAAACGTATTTTCGATGTTGGCGACACGGAGGCACGGCAGCCTAGTGGTAGGACGCCGGGCTCGTGACCGAACGGTTCGAGTCACGGCACGACACTTTGTTGTATCTTTGAGCAAGATACTTTACTCCGCTTGTTCCAGTCTACTCATCTATAAATGAGAACGTGGTTGGGCAGTGCTAGAATTGTGCAATGCTAGCTGTTAACGCCGAAATGGCAGCTCCTGCTGTATGCTCCCAAGGGAGTTGAGAAAGGTATTGGCTGGTTGCAAAGGTCCTATAACCACGGATAATAATTTGTGAACCGCTTTGATACGACTTGTTAAACGTTTACATGCCATGTTGTATGCAATTGAAATTATGAAATAATTGTTGTCAAACGCATAAACTCTACATTTTTAACCACTTAATAGAACAGACGTTCCCTCGTTTTATCATTTCTTGAGTCCTGATTTGTATCACATAAGCACTTCGCCCCGTTCCTTGACTCCTCTTTTTATTTTACTTGATCAGATATATTTTTGGCTTTTATTTCACTCTTCAATTTTGATCACTCTTTGATAAATCTACCCACGTGACCTCCTTTCTTTAGAGACCACCTGTGTTTAGAGACCAAGCTTAATGTTTCCCATGGTAGTTATATATGAGTTGGACCTGTATTAAGAGACCACTTGTGTAAAGTTGCCAAGTTTAATGTTCCCCATTACCAAAGAGATTTTATCATTTGAAACATTCATATCTTGTACAAAACATTTGAAATTCACTATGCTTTATTTTTGAGAGATATGAAAACATGAAGTGAGATACCTGTGGGTCAATGGTATAGTTAGTGAGTCGGATGGTGTTTAGTCCGAAGTTAGGTGGACAGTCCTCATCCTTCAGGGTGTTATTGATAAGCAATAGGGTTGTACCAATAGGTGAACTCTAAAGGCAAAAAAAAAACATGTATTAATATAGGATCATTTTTGTGACAAACATAATAACCTTGGATATCATTGTAAGAGGTTGTGATATTACCTTGGATATCACAATTAAAAGGGGTGTTGATCTTACCTCTGGTATCGTTAGTGAAAGAGGTTAAGATCTTAACTCTGTTATCATTATTGAAAGAGGTCATGCTCTTACCGCTGGTATCGTTATTGAAAGAGGTTATGCTCTTACCTCTGGTATCGTGATTGTACGAGATGATGATCTTACCTCTGGTATCGTTATTGTACGAGATGATGGTCTTACCTCTGCTATCGTTATTGAAAGAGGTTATGATCTTTCCTCTGGTATAGTTATTGAAAGAGGTCATGCTCTTACCGCTGGTATCGTTATTAAAAGAGGTTATGCTCTTACCACTGGTATCGTTATTGAAAGAGGTTATGCTCTTACCTCTGGTATCGTTATTGTAAGAGATGATGAACTTACCTCTGGTATCGTTATTGTACGAGATGATGATCTTACCTCAGGTATCGTTATTGTAAGAGATTATGATCTTACCTCTGGTATCGTTATTGTAAGATGCTGTGATCTTACCTCTGGTATGGTTATTGTACGAGATGATGATCTTACCTCTGGTATCGTTATTGAAAGAGATTATGATCTTACCTCTGGTATCGTTATTGTACGAGATTATGATCTTACCTCTGGTATCGTTATTGTAAGATGCTGTGATCTTACCTCTGGTATCGTTATTGAACCAGATAATGATCTTACCTCTGGTATCGTTATTGTACGAGATGATGATCTTACCTCTGGTATCGTTATTGTAAGAGATTATGATCTTACCTCTGGTATCGTTATTGTAAGAGATTATGATCTTACCTCTGGTATCGTTATTGTTCGAGATGATGGTCTTATTCCTGGTATCGTTATTGTAAGATGCTGTGATCTTACCTCTGGTATCGTTATTGTACGAGATGATGATCTTACCTCTGGTATCGTTATTGTAAGAGATGATGATCTTACCTCTGGTATCGTTATTGTAAGAGATGATGATCTTACCACTGGTATGATGATCTTACCTCTGGTGTCGTTATAGTACGAGATTATGATCTTATCCCTGGTATCATTATTGTACGAGATGATGATCTTACCTCTGGTATCGTTATTGTAAGAGATGATGATCTTACCTCTGGTATCGTTATTGTAAAAGATGATGAGATTATGATCTTACCTTTGGTATCGTTATTGTACGAGATGATGGTCTTACCTCTGGTATCAGTATTGTACGAGATGACGATCTTACCTCTGGTGTCGTTATAGTACGAGATTATGATCTTATCCCTGGTATCATTAATGTACGAGATGATGATCTTCCCTCTGGTATCGTTATTGTAAGAGATGATGATCATACCTCTGGTATCGTCATTGTAAGACATTATGATCTTACCTCTGGTATCGTTATTGTACCAGATGATGGTCTTACCCCTGGTATCGTTATTGTAAGATGCTCTGATCTTACCTCTGGTATCGTTATTGTACGAGATGATGATCTTACCTCTAGTATCGTTATTGTAAAATGCTCTGATCTTACCTCTGATATCGTTATTGTACGAGATGGTGATCTTACCTCTGGCATCGTTATTTTAAGAGATGATGATCTTACCGCTGGTATCGTTATTGCAAGAGATGATGATCTTATCACTGGTATGATGATCTTACCTTTGGTATCGTTATTGTTAGAGATGATGATCATACCTCTGGTATCATCATTGTAAGACATTATGATCTAACCTCTGGTATCGTTAGTGTACGAGATTATGATCTTCCCCCTGGTATCATTATTATACGAGATGATGATCTTGCCTCTGATATCGTTATTGTACGAGATGACGATCTTACCTCTGGTATAAGTATTGTACGAGATGACGATCTTACCTCTGGTATCCTTATTGTAAGAGATGATAATCTTACCTCTGGTAGCGTGATTGTAAGAGATGATAATCTTACCTCTGGTACCGTTATTGTAAGAGATTATGATCTTACCTCTGGTATCGTTATTGTAAGATGCTGTGATTTACCTCTGGTATGGTTATGGTTAAAGGTTGTATCCTGAACTCAGGTTTGAATTCATCCACTTCGAGGTTGCTCACCGTAAAACTCTGAAATATTTTTCAAGTCAACTACATAAATACTTATGATCATTTCTAATGAATGCTGAAATATAAATTGAGACAATTTTAAACATGCAACCAGTTAGGCAGATCAAAGACATATTTAGAAAAGTAATTCTAAATCAGAGTGACACCTCGTTGATCACCTGTAGGTTGGCTTTCATATCGGTCCTTAGATTTCAAATTTCAGTACAAGATAACGTTCAAATACATAAACAATCCTTTGTTATACATTTATCTCTTTTGATTTATAGAAGCTGTAATGGGGTACTCTATGAAGCCACCTCAAAACAAATGATAAGTTATCATGTAAGTGTGTGTTAACATTTCTCTTTTCTGTACATTGATAGTTAAAAGGGTAGATGAAAGAGAGTCAACTGAAACGTTCTTATCGTGACGTCATGATACAAGGAGATATGTATAATCAATACTTACCAGAGGTATGGGTGCAGAATTCCCAGGATCTTTACAGGTTATACCAATGATAAATGAGTTCAGTTGCTTATTCTGTAAAATAAATTATGTCAATTTTGTTTTAACTTTTATTATCAATTTTGAAACCATTGAATAAAATAAGGGATTTCTACAGTTAAATAATTATTACAGTCGAACCTCGTTATCTCGAAGTCGACGGGGTCGTGGGAAAACTTCGAGTTATCCGAGTATTCGAGTTATGCGGGTTCATAGATTTGGTATGAAATTTGCTGTTGGAACATAGCACTAGCAGTTGTTGGTTTTATTAATAGTTAATGCTTTTAATCAATCGATAAATGATATACGTAATCAATATAACAAATACAGCTATGTAATTTTACAATAAACACGCTTACAAAAATAGAGTAAGTTATTTCAGAAAAACGTACTTTCGTTTTTAAACGCGATCAAAACGGTTCAACCATTTTGTGAATTCGTTATTAAATATGGACGGGCCTAGTGATTAAATGTTGTTTTTGGCTAGTATAGATCTTGGCAAATCTTTACAGGTCTGTATTTATATTTGTAAGTCCGTCAAGTTTTACTTCTGAAGTGTTACATTTCAAACCGAACTACCCGCTGTCTCTGATCTCGTAGTTTACAATGCGGAAATGAAAGTGCGCAAGTCTAAAACAAATCACTGTAATGGAGCGTACGCATAGTTGATTCTGTAAATGAAAACACACAAATAAATTATATCGTACATGTGACACATTGATTCATTAAAGCCAAATATGACACCTGACACCTCCTCAACTCGTTGTAATCAACAGCAATTATCATTTTGTTCTTAAATCTCTCGATCGACTTTCAAAGCCATACTGGCTCCTGTAAAAACATGAACCCGTAAAGCTGTCCTAGGTTGTGATTTTAACTGTGGAACTCTTTTATGCATGACCACGCTTTGTGACCAATTTTCCGGTTTGCACTGTCGTCTGTTTAGGTGTACAAATCATTAAACGGACTCGCAGTAAGTACAGATTACTGTTGATCAACATTGATGCAGTTTGTTTTTTATTATGAATAACATGGTTTTGACAGTCCGTAAACTTTACAGTCCTAAGCTTTATCGTAAATTCTTTTTTACTGATTTCATGCTAGTCTACTTACGAAAGATGTTCATAAACACGGAATGGCGAAATGTCGTACTTTTGCGTTTTATTTGTATCAAAGAATTAACAAGTGACAAAATGAAATTTGGATACTACGTTGGATTAACGCTATTGAAACCAATATTTTACTTCGAGGTATCCGAGTTTTTCGAATTTTCGGGGTTTGAATTATCAGAGTTTTATTTACTAAGATAAAGAACAGATTTGGCCGGGACCGGAGAAATACTTCGAGATAAACGGGGTCTTCGAGTTAAAAGAGTTCGAGATAACGAGGTTCGACTGTACATTTAACCAATTATCACCAATTATCCAGTTTGAAAAACCAATTATTTCATATATATAATTATAACATTTAACTAAAAAGTATTACTAATTACCCTGTACAGATAGCTAATTATACATTTAATTACTAATTTCAAATAACCCTTTGGGATATCTAATTCAATGCAACAAAAATCCTATTCTTATGACTAATTACATATGTAATTCATAATGACAATCCATGCTTTACATACATAAATTTTACAGAAATATTCTGTGTTGAGTGGTTTAAGAAGCTTGACTTCAATATGCGTGTCAGACTTTGAAATATTGATAAAGTTCTCAAACAGGTCCTGTTCCAGCGCCTTGTCAAGGTTCACTGCGTTGTCAACCTCACTAAGAGCAAAGTTCCAAATCAACGTTGGTAAGGTTGTTGTGTTCAGAAGGACAGTGTCTGTAAAACAAAATAAGACAATAATCTTCGATCTTTGACCCTTAGTGACAAAAACAATGTCAAACATACTAAGGTTAACCTTTAATAATATGAACCGGTAATCATTAAAAAAGATTGCTGAAAAATGTTGCTATATTGCTACATTTAATGTATGTCATCTTCAAACAAGAAAAACTTACCATTTTCTATTTCGCTGATACGAACGAGAGCAGGATATATCCCCTGGAGGCTCTCAACACAAGTCCCATTGACTGTAATATAATATTAAGGTCTCCATTTTTAACCTCTTTACAAAGTTATTTTGTAATATTAGTAAGTGTAATGACTATCTATCCAATCCTTAGGACATTTTTAGGTTTTCTGATACTGCAATGAACATTACGAAGGGTTCAAATAATCAGAGTGGCAATTGAAATAAGAAAAGCATTGCACGAATGCGTCTAATTTGGAAAACACATTCTTTTTAACAGTCCGCCCTAAGCATTTACTAGTCCATTCCAAATTACATTACGCCCCAACAAAGTGTGTACCTATTTCGGAACTGGTTTTTTCCTCAATCAGTATATTACAAGCACAAACATTTGTAGTGTTGCAATGGAACAGTGGTACATACCAATGTTAACGAGGATAGGTATGAAACAGACAACAATCACTATCCATGACGAAACGGCCATGACTCGGGAAGGCGTGACTGCCGGAGGTATTGATTTCTAGTCAGTGTGGTCGCTGCTCACCCACACATAACTTTTGGTGTGACGTATAGTGCTGTCTGAGAAATGAAAATGCATTCATGAAAACTAAGAAATAAAAAAACGGAAATCTGATTATCCTGCGATCACTTCGTTAAGATTACACCAGAAGAGAGGTTTCTACGTTAGATATCGTGATATGTGACCTTACTATGTATATATATATAGATATTCAAGGAATAGACTGTTGACGTTAACATCATTAAAATAAAAACAATGTGCTTTTTAGGCAGTTCCCTTAACATAACTGTTGTTTGTTGCTAGTTTGACTTTTCCTAGACTCGCTGTCACGGGAAACATAGTAACGTACTAATATGTCCACTCATAGATGTACATTGAAGATGTTGAGGTCAAGTTGACAATATGTCTTGGCATTGTTGTTTTTCTAATTAAAGGGATTCTTGTGATAAAGTGAGATGGATTTTATTCGTCAGGAATTCTCGTTAAACTAAACTTATATAAAACATTAGTTCACCACACATAGGATATGATTCATATTCCTTGTCGTGTTATACTTTTAATTACATCTTCCTGTCTGGATTTGATCGACTTAATGACACCAAAGTGGTCCCTGTGTGATTTTATTAAATCTAATAACAAAAATTGTTAGGTACATATTTTTGTATGTTTTACTGCTGTTCAATATATCTGATATTGTAGTCAGAAAGTAACACAGGTCATATTGTTGTTGTAAAGTCGCTGACTTGTCAATAAATTGTCCCTTTAACATTAAGAGGAATCTTAATATACGTAAAATATTCATGCTTCCAAGTTCCATTTATCGAGGGTGCAAGGTTAAACACACAACTATACAGGAATTAACCTAAATGATGATCGCTGTAGAAAAATAAACAAAAGGTGGGGTCCAATTTGGCCCTCGCAGCGATTTATTTTCATATTTTGCAACAATGTTGCCAGACGGCAAACAGTTTTGAAAATGATAGTCTCGGCTCCCCAGGGTCTGATTTGGCCAAATTTAAAAATTTAAAAAAAATCTATCTTTTTTAATCTAAAGCTGATTTTCCCCTGTAATACTGCTGCTTAGGTGTATTTGATCATTTTGATACCAAATATGTGCTTATTTAAGTAGAATATGTGATGCCAGTACTGGGTTCTTTGTCCAAAATTAGCGCAACAGATCACTTGACATAACTTCACCAAATGTTATTGCTTAAAAAAATGCTACTTAAATATTCCTTGTATGGTAAACATATGTTTAAAATCTGAAACCGGTATAGTTTTCATTTCCAAAACTTTAAATTAAGTGACCCATGTGTCCGACTTCCTGCTGAAAGAGTAAAACAGCACTTATAGATATAACCATAGCCTGTGCATAAAAAAACCCTTATTGAAAGTGAAATTATCCACCTTTTTATTAGAAGAGGATGAATTCTAGCACTTGCATTTTGTTTTAGTTTAATTTTTGATTTTACTAAGTACTCTAATATTACTTAAAGCAATTTCTCAAACAAAGACAAAGACAAAATGTAAAAAAATTACCTATGTCTCACATTTGTGACACTTCTCCTTCAAGACAAAAACTACATACACATACTTTTTTGAATATTTTGTTTTATAAGCAAGGATATTGTGTCCTGTTGTGAAACATGTATCCAAAATAATATAATATACGTACTGTATGTACACACATGCCTACTGTTCTGTTACCAGCTGGACACTGACAACAATAATATTTGTACATGATCATCAGTATCTTTACTGTCATATTTGATCCAGACATTGTACTTTGTTTGAGTTTTATGTCTGAAACGAATCTGATCACGTAATAACTCTGCTGAGTTGCGATTCACACAGACCTCATAGTCACATTCAGATGTAAGGTGTTCTGAGATGTAACCATCCAGCTTCATAACATCTGTTCCGTCAGTTTGGAGCAATTCACATAGCCAACCACATTGTGGCTGAAGATTTTTTCTTATCTTGCACTTGTTCTAATTCAAATCTTTGAACCTAATTTCGAACTTGTTCCAATACAGATAGACCTTATGTTGTACTTTGTATTTCCGCTACAGTTTTACTGAGAAACTATGACAAAATTGACATGTCATCAAGGGTGTCAGAAAACAAATGAATAAGGGACAAGCTTCCAAGTATACTTTACGAAGGTTCTGGCGTATCAGGTGGTTAAGTCTTAATTATAGACCAGGTCAGGTATTCCATCAAGTACAAGTACGATATCAAACTGAACGGATAGGTATAATCTGACCATTTAGAACATCATAGGTTGGAACACACCTTTTATTTAGCCACGTGTAGGAATATGAATAAGTGACTGAGTATGGTGTTAATATTACTACAAGATCAATAATTGATGAATTACGCAATAATTTACATGCAGTTAGATAAATGGCAATTTTTCAAAGATATTGCACTTCATTTAAAGCGTTGTAAATAAACTTTAACGGTTTTTAGAAAATAAAGATATTTTTACCATACAAAGAATATATATGTAGCAAAATTTGTTAGCAATAGCATTTGGATTGACACTATAAAACATAACACGAGGATGTGAGGTTATGTCAAGCGATCTTTTTAGCTCAATTTAAACACCAATTTTGACAAAGAACCCAGTACTAGCATCACAGATTCTAGTAATTACACAAAGCAAAACAGGTAATTACACAACTACACCAAAAATAGCATTAAAATGATTATATCTGCAGATACGAGAGATGACAAAGATAAACACACAACCATAACAGAAAAAGCCTCAAATGATAACAACTGTAGATTTAGAAAATCAAAATAGGTAAACAAACGATTATACCAGAAATGGTATAAAAAGATAATCGCTGTAGGTACTGAATGGAACAAGGTAAACAAACCACTTATAAATGTATACGTGGAACAGCCTATACATGATATTTGCTATAAACACGTAAATTAAAAACAGTCGACACCCAATTTTCCAGAAATATCCTAATATGATAATCGCTGAAGATACAGAAAGCGAAAAAGTAAACACAAATATACCGGAAATAGCCTACAAATGACTATCGCTGTAGATACAGAATGTAAGACGATAAACACAAAATTATACCAGAAAATAACATTGAATGATTATCGTTCTAGATACAGAATTTAAGAAGGTAAACCAAACGACTATACGAGAAATAGCCTTAACCTGATCATCGCTGTGTAGCTACTGTGAGTATAAATGTAAAGAGATAACAACTGCTGTAGATTCTGAAGTAAATAGCGGTTGTGTTCATAATTAGGATGCTTTATAACTAGTCATGTTTCAAACGAGACAAATGTGCTGAAATCAAAATAAAAACATCTTAAGAAACACTCCAGCTATAGTAGTGGTGTAGAGTAGAAATGGCCTGATCCCCACAATAACAATGTCTGAGAAATACAAGTAGACGGTAGAGTTATACATATAGAGCGTAGTCATCATGCAAGACACACACGTTAACTACTTGTCATTGCAATTGAAGAACAGTAATGAAAATTGAGTAAACATACTTTCCCACATGTTCCAAACTAGTGAAATCCATGGTTGCCACATCAAAAACGCTAAAAAGGTACGTTATAAAAAAGAAAGATAATATCTCCTGTCCTCTGAAGCTGGCTTTTGTTGTATGAACACTGATTTCAGAATGACAAATGTGTTATCTTTAACCCCAAAAAGGTATATATTTTCAAATATGATGCCCACTTTGTCCACTTCGTCATAAATATATTGATTTCATAAGGTGATTTTTTTTACATTAAAACGGCTTATATAATGTACAAAAATTATCCCCCACGACCAAAATACGTCACTCTCATAGCTACCTATACAGCAATGTTATGTTAATCCTGTTGTCGTGTCTTTATCCATGTCCTCATACTTCTTCCTTCCCTGGGATTGACAGTTTATTTCAAGATGTATTAATCTTAAACATTTATCTCGATTAACTTACATTTGTACATTTCAAGACACGGATTTCAATTTGCTAGGAAACGTATTTACATTTATATAGGTGATATTGTTATTTGTGATGAGAATGATCCTTTGAAGAATATTTTTTTTAACGGGATGATTTCCCGATAGATACGTCAATGAAATGATTATTGATTTATTTTGATTTCCTTGATCTTATTTAGGAATACTGTGTCGTATCTGTTGTTGTGTCAATGACATGTTTAAATGTCATAAATTGAAAAACAGAAAACGTATCACACACAGATCAACATGTTCAGATTATTCCTCTTTCCGTGGGATTGACAGATTATTTACAGATGGATTAATATTCAACATTTACCTCGATTAACTTACATTTGTGCTTCTCAAGACACCGATTCTAATTTCAATTTGCTAGGAAACGTGTTTACATATACGTGATATTGTTATTGGTGATAAGGAAAGTCCTATGAAGAATGAATCAATTTTTTCTTAACATGATGGTTTTCTCATAATTAATCTCATTTATGATTACTGTATATAACACGCTGTTGTGTCAATTACATGTTTACATGTCATTAAATGAATCACAGAAAACGTATCTCACACAAAGCAACGTTTGCATACCACTGGAAAGTAACCAGGTCGTATTAAACACCGTAGACACCATGAACATTTGAAGCAAAATGATATGACAGGTAGCAAATGATTTTATATCAAGTGCAATATTTTTTGTGTATATTTGATTAAAGGGGTAGGGACCCGTAAGGATTGATCTATTTGCAAAATAGCTTTAACCTAGCTGAGTAAAAACATCAAAAGCTTTATACAAAATCTTCTTTTTTCAGAATTCACCCGATAGGATAAAATGTTTTAAGGGGATATTATCACCGTATAATAAATAAATTTAGTTTCCATTGGATTGATCTTTTTATCCCCCAACTTTATCCTCTGAGTTTGTGGCAATATAGTACGAATTATTCTGACGTTTTATCGATTTTTTCATACTGGTCTGTCGTCGATTAACGTCAGAACTCCGGCCCTCTATAATATGCGGGAAATATGCGACCCGCGCCCTGAGCGCAGAGCGCACTTCAAACTGATATTTTAGAAACAAATCGTCACTTTCACACACATGTCGCACATGGATCGAAAGATCTATTCTTTATGCACTAGGTGGTATCAATAACATGTTTCAAAGACCATTACGAAAAGTGTTCCAACGTTTTCTATACCAACCCATGTTTTTAATGGAAATTAGGCCATGAGCAATGTCCCATGACTTGACGAGATCTCGCGTTACCGAAGGTATTTCCCAACGTTATGATGTAGGATTTAGCCACGTGGCATTAGAAGGCGGGGCTATCAAAAAACTAGAGTAAAACAGAGTAAGTTTGAAAAAAATATGTTTTTAGTGATTGTATTGGTTGTGTGTGGCATGTTATGTATGTTCATCTTGTGCATAAAGAATACATCTGTGTGTAAAAGTGACGATTTGTTTCTAAAATAACAGTTTGAAGTGCGCTCCGCGCGCGGGTCGCATATATCCCGCATATTATAGAGGGCCGGAGTTCTGACGTTAATCGACGACAGACCGATATGAAAAAAGTCGATAAAACGTCAGAATAATTCGGACTAGTGGCAATACTGGAGTTACGGGAAGAGTATGTCACAGCCAATCTTTATGTAAGAAACTAAGAGAAAATATGGAACTTAAGGTAGAAAAAACAAAATAATTTTTCAGATATTTATTTTTCAATTCATACAAATATTTAGAACTTGGGGTAATCTATATGCCCCAATAGTAACACTTGGTCCTCGGATCTATTGCTTCCTTTTCTCACTTCCCTTCTTTTACTTTCCGGTAGTGTCCATTTGCAAGAACTTTAAACTACAAAAGTCGTTATTTTTAGTAATACATAATGATTTGAAGTTAACATTTCATATGATAAAATTAAATCTAAATGTTGCATTTCCATGGGTTGTAAGGTAGGAAATATATCTCCTGTTTATGTGATATTCAGAAAAAAGGTTATTCGCTGAGGGAGGGAATTCGTGTTGATACATGTCCCATTAGCTATCTATGTAAGGTCCCACAGCAATGCCTCTACCCAGTCACTTATACAGCTAATTATACGGTTAACAACTTGTCTATGGTTTTACCGAGCTATATGTGAAATGTATCGTAAGGCTTTGTGAAATTCATAACGTTATCAGCTATGACAAATTCAGGAAGCAGCAAGGCGGGCTGTTTCGGGCTGTTTTATCTGGCACTTGTTTGACCGATTGATACTTGAAGGTAAACAGCGCTCGATACGACATATAGTTGACACATTGAGACCGATGTTTAAAAGTAGGATTTGCACCAGCTAATAAAATCGTATCCCTTTGTTGTCAGATCGGACATACTGCCTAGGTGTTTAATATCATAATCCAGAGAACGTGTGTGGCATGTTACCAAAAGGTAATAATAGCAAAATAGTGCAGGTACATTTTAGGGGTCGACCTGTGTATGTTCCATTAATATCTACCTTTAGATATCGGGTGTACTAATCATGTTACAGTCCATTTACTATCAATAATATTTCAGCATATTTTTCATATATTATCCTTTAATGTTTAAGATGTTTTTGGTGACATATAGATTATTGGATGAGCAAACTATTCATATAAGATTCATTATACCATGATATTTTTTCTATGTGAAAATAGTGACAATTATAAACATTCTCTAGCAGAAGTTAAGCGTTCAACGACACCATCCTGAAGTTGTAGTAACACGGATATATAAACTGAGTAGTGCACAAGATATAAACTTGTTTACATTATTATGATAAGACTCGGAACTCCATTTTATTGTTTCTTTATTAATTTTGTCGGAATTTCTTCCTTTGGATATGTCTGAAATATCAATGGTATTGACAATGTATAAACCATGATCAAGCCGGACGCAGTATGATAAATTAGCATACTGTTGTGTACGTAAAGTAGTAGCGATCTGTTATATTATCACAAATGTATTACTAATATATATCACCAGAAGAGAGTGTAAACATTTGTCTTATGTTCGATAGAAATTCCACACTGTCGTGAATTACCTCAAATCGACGCACGCACTAAACCTGTTTACTTTACCCTTAAACACTGGTAGATATTTTAGTAATAAAAGTCTTCGTGTGGTTTTCTACGTTTCTTATCAGACTGACAGTCATCCTCTTCAAATGGACGTCAATTGTGTATACAAAGACTTGTCTTAATACCGGTGACACCGGATATCAAGCAATTTGAGAGGTGATAGTATAGTAAATTGATCAATATTTGGCAAACGAAGAACTAGTTTATAGCACTACAGCGATAGCGATTGTAGTCAACTCCGATTGCTTATATTACTTCAAGCGAATCTTGAGCCTTCGTTACACAGGTAATGTATAACATTTCTGAGGGGTCCAAATAATGAAATATTGTTGGAAACACGTGTTTTAACACTGCAGCACGACTATGCAATAGTCACGGAAACAACCATTTAGACATATGTTTCAAAAACATCTTAAAGCATAAAAAAGAAGTTTTAATGACTTTTTAAAAAGTGCACAAAAATACAATATTCAAATATGTTTTGTAAACACACTACAGCACGGTTATACAATATTTAAATCTTTTTCTAAGTCAAATTAGAGCATTTGTCACATCTCATAATTTCGAACGGACTCGGATTTTGTTTTTGATCGACTGATAGTATCATTTTTTCGTTATTGAATCCCTCTGAAAATGAAGTATTTTATTGTGACAGTTTTATTAGATACAAATAATTGTATAAGGGCAGTGCGATGCTTTTTGCAATATATAAGTAAATTGACAATTACAACTTTTATATGGAATATCCACTGTGTGTTAACAAGAGAAAGTGGTATATTTTACAGTGTTAAAATATAGAATCCTGATTAACAGAAATAAGACATTAACTGTCGTTTATATGTGATAATCCTCAACAGACCAGACACATATACACATTGTCACTTCCGCGTTGTGATCAAAGTTTAACTACGTTCTCCGTTTGGTTATGTAAACTATATGCATTCATCCTAAGGTAAAGCTACACACTTAAGTTAACTTAATGTCTTATTCTAATTTAGCATCGTGTACCTTATCACATACTTATTGAGTGAATGTAATTACTGAAAGTCATATTTGCAACACAGGTAACACATGTCGTCAAGTGCAGCTTGCAGAGGACCATGTTTTGAGTACATAAGTAAAGTTTATTTTTATAATGATGCATAGGAGCTTTTTAATCAGTTTACATATATATCCATGTTTATTTTTTAAATTATACATGTAAGTATGTGAACCTTTATCCAACTATTACTCTAGTAATGATATGTATAAATAACTATAATTGCGAGTACCACAGTATACACTAAAAACAATTCAACAGAAATATGTAGTGCTTTCATTGTTGTTAGAAGCAAGATATGATTATGTTCTCCTTCATTTGTGTAAAACTTGATCATTCATTTGTATAAAACGTGAATGACATTACAGAAATTGAATCCATACCTGTCAATACCAATGTTTTCCTGTATTCTCTCTCCAAGAAATTTGAGGTAAGATTTATCCTGTATTTTCCTCTGCAGCAAGGTTTAGAACCCGTATATCCAAAGTGTTATAACTGGTTGTATGTTTATAACATAAAATCTACTCCTTTGTGTTTGTAGTGGGGAACTTAGAAACCAGCTAATACTCTCAGATAAGGCGGCATCATGCCAAGATTTCAGCGGGAGGAATTCGGCAATGTATAACACATCATTCCTCTTTTTTAGTATTCTTTGATAAACCACCCGTAATGGCGGACAACTGGAAATTGGCGAACTGTGTTTGCTTGATAAATGTGAACCAGGTACGTGTCCCCCTGATTAGCCTACAGGTAAGTCCAGGTAACCTAGGTGTGGAGAGATAAGAGAAGTACGGGAGCTGGCCAGTGTTGAAAGATTAAATGTGGTTTGATAGCGAGGGAGGGTTTATGCTGGCGCATATTTCCAAATGTCGTGATTATTTGATTAATGTTGCTTAGCGGTATTGGTTCGGTTAGTACATAAACACCGGACTATCCAAAGCCTATACGCTGATGGCTTATGACTGCAGATAGAATGACACACATGCTGCATATAAGTATATTTAAAATTTGTTCTGATGTGTTAAAATATCAGCTGAGACCCCCTCATCCCACAACATAACACAGACACGTTGAGCTATCAAAAACCTACACGCTGCTGGCATATGGCTGAAAAAGAGTGACGCACACGACTAAATTAATTGATTAATAAAAAAAGACACAATAAAGAATAAAGGACGTGAGTTTTAATGAATGTTAAATCTTACCGTATGAGATTACTTCAGAACCAGTCACCTATGATAATACTTCATTAGTCTGTCTCTTATCCAATTGATAATAATAATAATAATAATAGCGCCCTATATAATTTGTAAAATTACTCTTAGGCGCTTTACAACATATGGATAATAGTAATGGTTATAATTGTGCAAACAAACAACAAAGGCTTGCAATCACTTTCATACATTTAACAGGTAATGTGCACATAATTGAACAAATAAAAGGGTGGTATTTACATGACGTCTTTGCAAAGATTCTAAAATGCAGACGTGAAAAGGTGAGTTTTTATGTCCCTCTTGAACTTGGCCAGGGTATTTGACTTCCTAATAGCAGATGGTAAGCTATTCCACAACGTAGCCGAAACCCTCCCAAAGCATCTGTTTCCGTAGGTCACAGTACGAGATTTTGGGACACACAACAAAGATTCTGACTCCGACCGCAGTGATCTTGACGGCTGATACAGGGTAACAAGTTCCTGTAGGTACTGAGGAGCTGTTCCATTCAGTGCCTTGTATGTGTATACCAGAATTTTGTACTGCGACCTGTATCGTACAGGTAACCAGTGCAACGAATAAAGCGCAGGTGTGATGTGCTCTCTCTTTCGAGTACGAGTAACTAGCCGTGCTGCAGTGTTCTGAACCCTCTGCAGACGACTAGTTAGTTTGTCAGATATACCACAGAGCAGGGCGTTACCATAATCCAACCGAGAGGTAACAAGTGAATGCACCAAAATCTTGCATGCATCTGCAGTTAGAAACTGCCGAATACAGCCGATGTTCCTGATCTGGTAGTAACAGGATTTGGCAATAGTGTTCACTTGTTTCTCCATGTTCAGAGAACTGTCAAAGTATACCCCAAGTTCTGGCACCAACCTTGAGCTGGAGAGCCATTGTTTGCTGACACTTTGGGGAAAAGACGATTAGTTCCGTCTTTTCCTGATTAAGTTTAAGCATGAAGAATTGATATAAATTTATCTGATGCCTTTAACGATGCAACACTGCAATAGCGTATGCTTACTTTATTATCCATTCAACAGTGCACGCATTTCCTGTATACATTGAACATCAGGTGAAAATGGTAGGAATTACCTATTTTAAAAACAGTGAGTCAAAACAGGAAGCATAACAATGGGAAGCCTTTACTGCCCCACGAGTCAATTTTATCCATTTAGAATTTAACGTTGGTATATACATGTACTTGAGGTAAAGAGAAAGACAATCTATGTGTTAATTGTTCCACGTGTAGAGATTTAGCTGGAGGGCGTATAAAACCCTTTGTAATCATACAGATTTGCAACTATCGGTGACAAAGGAATATTCTTTTTCACGCAAATTATTATTTAAATACATTCCAACAAAAATCTGGACTGTACATACTAGCTCTCCACACAAAAAAAGCTATGAAAATAATCGGCTAAGACACAGAACGTACGTCACTAACGGAAAAAAGACGAGGAAAAAGATGAAGATTAGAAAACGACTTCATCTTTGTATTTTATCGTCACGATTTAGATGTTATTATAATAACTCTCTCATCGTTTATGGATGCAGCAGAATACCGATACGTTGTCAGGTGAATCTAGTTCGTAAGTGTATTTTGTATTTACTTGTTTCACGAATTAATCAGAATCTTGTGTTTACTTTTTATCGTCAATGAAAGAGCGTCCTCTAGTGTTGTCAACATAAACCAAGTGTTCATACTTAAAACTGTTCAATTATTGAACGAAAATTGTAAACCTTATAGCATGTACATTGCTAAAAGGTAAACGGCGCTCACCTTACTTGAACCAGTTTTCTCTTTTATATAGCTTCGCTTACAATAAATTTAACCCGAAATAATGCGGCTTGATGACGTGACAAAACATTGTTGTAAGGAAACCACCCATTACAAACCAAAAGTTCATCCAAAACACAACGCCAGACATAACGTCCTAAAAATGTTATCAGTTTCCTCTCACTGTGATTGGTCAGACGTAGCAGAGATGTATGACCTCATAGGAACAGATATGCGATAAAATTGAAGACGAAATAAAACATTGATAATTCAAAGACACTACTTGAAAACAGTAAAATTAGCATGATGATAGATACATGAATGTAGCATGTAGATTGATTGTAAAAAAATGAAATTGTTTTTTGTTTCTCTACATTTTATCTGTTGACATAAAATTATCAGGACCAATTTAAAATTATATATTTTAATACGTCGAATTTATTCCTCAGTGTTTCTGATAAAAATTACACCTTAGCCAATTCAAATTTAAACAAAACTTATTAAAAATTGCTATCGAAAATCGACCTTGGTTGTCACATATATCGGGCTGGAATCATAACTAATTGTCAAAAATATCGGGGAAGTACTATGAAGCTAACCTGACATTTGTGGCCATCAGTTATGATACTACAACAATCATTTATGATGATACCCAGATATTTGGGACAATGTGTTATGTTTGGGTAACATCACAACAGAGGAGGTAGTCCCCTTTCAACTCGATACTGGTCCTACTTATTTCACTCATGCTGAATAGGAAGATCCACATACATGCCACGAATGTGACTCCCAGTTTACACCGGAGCAACTTGTAATGGCACGTACAGATTTTAGATACATTCATGATAAATACTTCCATGTCCCGGACATGGAAACGCTACTCACGTCCATAGACTTGGAACCATTATGTAACCATAGAAGAAACTGTTTTATAATATATGATTCCGTTAACCTTCATCTTTTTACGACATTTATACATTATATTTTTCCATTTCAATCTTTACACGATGTTTTATCCAGATTTTGGTTTTGTACCCTCCTGTACTTTTATTGACCCAAACTTACCCTGCTGATGATTTTATGAGATGTAACATTACTCTGGCCCTAAATGATCAAAATTATCAATGGGCCGTTAAACTCAAACAGCCAAACAATCTGATTGCCACAAATATCCGGGTAGTATTATAACGGATGTACCTAACCTTCATACTTGGTCATTCAGTCTCTGATAGTAATAATTGTGCTTTCCTTTGCCATATTTTGTCCGTAGAAACATAGTATACAGACATTTTTGTGGTCGCGTCTGTTTCCTAACAGCGACAGTCGGCTGTGTATATAAACACACACCTGTTTGTACGATTGTTTTCTACTTTGTGATGATATCACGGTCAGGACACCAGGCTTTTAGCACCATGCATTATAACAACTAAGCCAAATCTCAGTACAATTTTTCTATCGTTATCATTGTCCCATACCGTGAATGTCACGGGTTTCTAACAGGAAATATAAACAAAAAACATATTGATTGCCACATCTGGTGCAGACAATACTCAGTCTTGCTTGAGTCGAGCAACTGTATGCTTTATAATTATTATTTTGATTTGGAATAGGCTATTTCTTTCCTTGATAGATCTTGTTTATATAGAATTGAAACTGCTGCGTTGAGATGTCACTATATAGTTCAAATATCTCCACTCAAAAGTTATACTTGTGTACTGATATTTTGTTTTGTTTTCGTTTTGTCTGTGGCGAACTTACATGGCGTTGTCTACCGACACTACGTAAAATGCACATATTATTGTTTAAAATATGATACTAACTAGCATTTAACATATTGTCATACTTATATCAAATATTGATTGAAATTAATATTCACTGAACTAAATTGCTCACTTTACTTTTATTATGTGTCGTCAATATCTTGCTTGTTCTATAATATCTTAATACTTTGAATGAAAATTTTATTACAAGCACTACTCAAATATAAACCTGAACACAGCGCCTCCTCATGCCTAAACCTGCCCAAAACGCCTCTTAAAATTTGAGCCTCATCACAGAGCTTATACATATCTTAATATTTACATTTGCATGGCATTGTCACTATGTAGCCTCTTTGAAAGCTGTGTCGTTGATGGCACTTTAATTACCATGCATCACGAGATACAATTCCTAGCGTATTAATACATGCGCGAAATTTGTTCCGGGGAAAAATCGAAACAATTTCAAATCTAACTTTCAGCTCAGAGTTCTATTGATTAACTTAAATCACCCTATAGCACATATCATACGCAATTGTATTGATACTGAATTGTGGAATAAAATTGAAGTGTTTGTTAAAGTACTAGGCCTACTTTGTTTTCCAATCACCACGCGACAATACGCTGTTCAAACTATTGAACGAAATTATGTGGACTGTCGATAAGGCGGGCATTTTTAATTTTAAATATGAATTATAAGTTAAAAAAGTACATTGGAGGCAGAGAAAACGTAAATATAAGTATTAAACTGTTTTTGTATGGTATTAGCGCGCATTATGTTGTTTGCTTGCAAAGATGTGTCATTCAAATAGATCATAAATACCATACAAAAACAGTTCAATGCTTAAACATAATCACAACGCTTACTTATATAAATTTAAACCTGATCACAGTGCATTTTCGTGTCTTAACACTTATCATAGCGCCTGCTCCTATCTAAACATGTGGATTTGCGCTTTATCACATATAAATAAAGCTGCTATTGTGGGTTTTGTTTTTTACCTTCCTATTAAGTAACTGCCAAACTGTATTGGCACTAATAAAGTATAAAGTATACTTGTCTCAACAAAGGTACATTGAAGACTTAATAAAGTTGGACGTGTGATGTTTCACTGGTTACATGACGTCATATTGAATATCTTATTCACTACAGTAACACGTTATAAACAATGTGTTAAACGACAAATAACAGTAGTGTATTATTTGTGTATGTGGCCGATTAGAGACGGTCGCAGCATTTAACTTCGATAAACATGTTTCTGTATCCAGTCTGTGTCGGCATCTGTAAACCGCCCGCCACATCATGGAACCTAGATTGTCATAGCGCGTGTTTTTTGTTGATTTTTTTCTTATTGATGACACAATCACATTGAGAAAACTTCACCTTTCACACCGCACGTTGGAGATGAACACCCTGTTAATATCACTGTATAAATACGTCCCTGACACCCAGGATCCAAGGATATCTCCATCGTTGGGCGATCACGCCTAATTTATTCGACACGAATATATTCCACTAAGACCACTATATTAGTGGTTGAACATAAGTTTTAATATGTATAGAATAAAGCAAACCCCTACCTTAACACACTTAGTATTGCCAGGACAATATCTTGAGAATATATAAGGCAAGTGTTTCGCATTTGTTGTCCGATCACTTGGAATCGGTCTTGCTATTTTAGACAAATGTTATATAAGGTGGAATGCTCTGATGTGGCCGGCAGAAAAATGCATCGTATGTAATAATGTGAAGTTTTCCAAAAAGAGAATGTGTGGAGGGAAGAGGGCACGTTGTTGGGATCGAGAAGCAGAGAATGACGACGGATGCAGATAGATAAGGAGGGGGGATATATCGGCAATCGAACATCTTATAATATCAATAACCGTTTTGACGGGTCTAGTAAAATTGGGTGTCTCATAGACATTTTCATTTGGGCCTGCCGTTAGTCATCCAGCGGTCGATTTCCCTTGCAGTTAACGCTTTGATAGCAAGCGGCTGCAATTTTGTGTGTGACATATTTTGGTTTGTTTAACAGGAGGGCAAAAGGTGCGAGTTTGTTGCTGATTCTCAGGTATAGCTTTAAGACAAAAATTAGCAGCTGAATTCTACCACATCAATATGAGAGAATTGTGATGGATTTGGTGGGACCCCTATTATTAACAGCAAAATGAAACCGCTTTATTTTGGGCAGGTGTGACTTTTTTTTATTCAGAGGTATTCGCCTTACCAGACCACAAGGCAGAAACAATTATCTATTTTTTGTGGACATAGATTTGCGTAACAACCAAGAAACATACCGATCAGGTTTGTGACTTAAATGTCAGATACTACAGGAGATCTGTACGTTATTTGGTTTCCAAAGAAAACTCTCTTTTACAGTATATTTCCCCCAGTCGGGTGGATTGGTTTAGAATCTCAACCAAAACATCAGTGTGCCAAATAGATTGAAAACTCGATAAACTGAAATTAAGGTACCGACTCAAATGGAGGGTTCGTATTTATACGCAAGGCTAAATCAATTCTATATTATCCTCATAACCTTTGTTCCAAACATACATTTTCTCATTTGGAAGTTTTAAAGTTGAGCAAACAAGGAGGTGAAACATACAGTTTCCATAGATATAACCGTTTATCTAAACATTTGTCAGAAAGAATTCTGCTGGTATCAGAACAGTTTGCATGACCTAATAAACATTGCAATCACATCAAAAATTAAAAAATAATAGACGATGGAAAAGTGTAAAAACAGTTGTTTGCGCTTTAAAGTACTAGTCGACTATATAATAGTTTGTAGACAAGAACACTCGTCTGTGCTTTGTAATGTTCAGGTATAAAAATCAGTCGGACAAACATTAATAACTTTTTCATATATTGTGATTCTTGTAAGAATGTGCGAAATATTAAAAATAATGGCTTCGCTGAAGATATTATAATTTGTACGTCGCTGTAACGAGAGGCGTAGCCTGACTTGTGAAAAATATAGAGCAGCGACTGCCGCCCGAGATATCTTAACATGCGCACTTAAGTTCTGCTCACCAATATCATAGACCTGCAGATAACGTGAAATGGTCAGTTGTAGCGTTTACTGGTCAGATTTTTTAAATTCCTATTGATATAATTTGCATGTTTAACACCATTATTCGTTTATTTGGGAAATAATAATAATAATCATCGAATAGAACAGGTAATAATGCGATAAACATTTAGATAAAAGTCATACATCTGTTATACTTGATATATTTGTTTTTCTTCCAGGAACATGTCTGTTATCTTTGGCAAGCGACTCCTCGTTGATCCTTCATATCAGTATCATCAACCCCTCTAGAAAAAAACAGTTTTCGTAAATTTTCATGAATCAAATGTTGTTTCTTTGTTGATAGGGTTATTCTCCGAAATATAGCAACAATAAAAAAAATGAAAAGAATCATTGTTAATACACCAATCAAACATTTTATTTTTCAACAAATACGTAAAACACCTCACAAAAAATCTTTTTAAGGCAAACGAAAGCAGGACAAATTGCTTCATAGAAAGAGCAAAAAGAATACACAAGTGTTTTTTATTTTGTTTATATACGTTTCAAAACGATATTATCCGGATGAGAAGTTCTCCCTAAAACTATGCGGAAAAATTTACTTATTTAGAAATTTAATTAATTCAGTCAAAAGTATTACATCATCATTGTCCCATCAGCTCTATTGTACATCTTAATTAATGTTAATAAATACTAGTACTTTGGAGTGTTCTCCGCTATAATGTTCCTGATAATCCAAGGGCAAGATTGTTTTCCCTGTGTTACACATGAGTATATATATACACGTACATACACGAAGCTCTGGGTATTGCCTAGCTGGTAATTGATCTCAATCTACTTCAAATCTCCACAAGGGGGAAGAAAGAATGTATGTCTGTCTAAAAAAATATTACTGGAACGTCAGCAAAAATACAACAAGGTCTCAACACAAATACTAATAGAACTTAAGCACCTATTTGACGAAGAGACCCTCTACATTATACAGTGTTTCATTGTAATAATGGAAATCTGTTCCTACAATTTATTACAGTCATTGATCAAATAGAGTAAATGAGATACTTAACAATTTTCCAAATTTATCACAAACCATTGAATGTTCGCTAATTTGTATTTAATTGTAGTTGTACTTCTAACGATATCTTCGGGAGAGTATGCATTCACGGAGAACAACGACCGCTTAGTATTTGTTGTGGATAGATATTCGCAAATTATTTGATAAAGGGTTCTTCCTCTTGTTATATATATAGCTATCTATCATTAGAAATACATATGTTTGATTTACTGTAGTAAATAAGAGATTTCTGCAATTTATTAATACAACATGTTTTTATTAAGATCGGCGAGTATCCAAAGCACAATTTACGGGTAATTGTGTTATTTTTTAAATGATTTATGAGGTAAGTTGTCAAATATTGTAAAGTAGCAGTATACAGAAGAGGGTTGTGGCCATGGGTGATATTTTTGTTAAATGGCTAAAAAAAATTATAAAAATAAAACTGTACTAAAATTGGTATAAGCATGATGAAGTGGGCTATGTGGGCTTCACATTTGTAAAAAAATAAGATTTTTTGGTTCGAGAATAAAATTTTGGCCATAAGCCGAAAGGGTGCCTACACATGAAAAGCTAGCTTTACAGGAGGTAAAATTTTGAAAACAGCACACGACGCAAAATTGCAAAAAATCAAGTTTTACAACTTTACTGGGACCCAGATAATTCTGCAACCAGGGAGGTAATCTTTAATTTCAGACAGAACCTAGGAAAACAATTACTAGTGGCGGGGGTCAAATTTGGGTCAAAAATAGCAATTTTTGGCATTTTTTGGTAATTTTTTATGTCGTAACCATGGTTTTTACACAAGTGACATCAATAGAAAAAAGAGGTTTATACACTTCTCAGTACTTTTTATGTTCTGTAAATGTAATGCAGTTTACAAATATATATACATGTATACATGTGTTGTGTAGGGTAAATCTGCTGTGTTTACATTTCCTCGACATGTGCCTTGTTTATCAGAGTCGGGCCATTTCTACTGTATTCTGCTACCTCAGCGAGTTTTTTTCTCAATTTATACGCTATATGTTCAAATTTGTAGTAAGAGAGCTAGTTTTAAAAAAAAGCTTACAGTAACTATGCTATAGATTTGACAATGACAAATCAATCAACCGTTTTCTGATTAAGACGTAAGTACGAAAACAACCCCTATATATATATATATATATATATGTTCTTGAATAAATGGTATGTAAAATAACAATTAGTTAGTCATGTCAAAATGGCATATGACGACATTGTCAACGCTAGATATTGAATTTTCTTATCTAGCCATTTAAAATGGCCTTTTTCATAAGTATTTCGAAAACCGGCTTTAACATACGGGACAAGAGAAACATGAAATTATCACCCAATATAATTATATTACACCTTTATTTCTGACATCACCTTGTGAACCAGGAATGAAACATTCCTATTTCACATCAATATTGGTGTGTTCACTATTAAACTAGATATAAGCAAAAATGATTTTTATAATCTAATTGACTTGGTTGTATATGAGCATTACTTCTTTCATTTGCCTACGGGCACTGTATCGTCATTGAGAGTAATCAACAGAGGAACAGTCCGCGAGAGTTGTGTGGTCGTGTCAGGGCAGTTCTCTGTTGCCTGCATTAAATAGAGAAAAGAGAAAGTACAAAACTAATTTATTATTTGCTTTAGAGTTCTAGTATGATTTAAATTTAGAATGCACTTTATATGAAAATGGGTAGATCTATTTCACATCATCGATCACATTTGTATCAGTGTTGCTGTTGCATAGAAGGAAATGAAATGTTATACAGATATATGAGAAACTCTTAACAGTCAAATGTGGTTTGTTTACAATAAATATCAATTTCCTTTTAACATTGCTCATGTGTTGATATATGTATAATACATCAATACATGAACGAAAAGTAGATATAACGGTAACTATACCTGTATTTGGATTACTTCTGCAACGGATACGACATCCTGGATTTGACTTAATTCTCCAGTGGTAGAATCGATGTCAAAAGATTGGATTAACGGCCCACCTTGTCAGAAAAACGAAAAACCTTTTTTTTAATAAAAGAGAGAGAAGTGGGTGGGGATGGTAATATTTAATTGTATACACAGATAATATAAGGATAGCTGTGGTATAAAAGCATTTCCTAGTTGTCAATGTTTCTATAAATACTCAAATGAGAAAACAGGATGCAGTAAAGGACAACACAGTCAAAATTCATAAAATCGACATTTTGCATACAGCAAGAACTAACTGTGTACTCGAATATGGCATTTTCTTTCTTATATTATGATATTGTTTTAAACATGAAATTTCCAAATACTAGTACACTCAATTGCCTTGATGAAATAGAATTAACTTTGAAATTTTGCTTGATAAAGCTTCGACTTGATGGCGATGATACTAGTCTATATAGGTTACAGGTTTGTGATAGTATGTACATTATACTATTGACATGGATCTGATACATTTGGTCTGTAATATTGTATAACAAACGGATAGGTTATTCTAATGAAATACGCTATCCATACCGAATGGTATTTGTGAAAAATATTCAAATATAAACAGAGCGGTCTTTTAACATTAACGCATGGCGATCACTTTGCAAATAAAAAGATAAAATAATGTAAAAATCAATTAGTTATCTAAAGTCTTATGATAAATTGTGCTAGTGATCCCATTTTGAGAATTATTTCTGTTTACTTACTCTGGACGAGACTATATATGACTGAACAATTGATGGTGGGATCCTGGTCGACAGCATGAATAGCAGACGGGGTTACTGTCAGTTTTCCCTAAACAGCGTAACAATAAAATAAACATTACATAGGTTACCATTTTATATCCGGACGTCAATTACATTAACGTGCATTTGTAAAAAAAATCAAACTTTTAAAAATCATCATCAGAAATTGGTAAAACGTTATAGCAATAAGAAAAACGAAAATAAATATACATTGTGGTATAGCATTATGCCATGCCTCTTGTAATAACCTTATAAAACCAGATTTAAACTTACTCTGTATTTAATGCTTGTATGAGATTTATAAGTAAACTCGTCAAAAGCAGGAGGTAAGTCGTTCACATCCTTGATATTTATTCGAAGTGTTGTCGTTGTTAAACGATTCTGTGGATCCTGTAAATAATAAACAGTGTACTTTTACATACACGTTGATTCTGTGGATCCTGGAATAATAAACAGTGTACTATTACATACACGTTGATTCTATGGATCTTCGAAAAATAAACAGAGTAATAGTATAACAATGTTGATTCTCTTGATCTTGGAATACTAAGCAGTTTAAAATAATAGCCATGTTGATTCTCTGGATCCTGGAAAAATAAACAGTATACTTTTAATTATGCGTTGATTCTGTGGATCCTCGAAAAATAAACAGTGTAATACAATGTATTATAATCATGTTGATAATGTTACATAAGCCTACTTATAATCTGATACTAGTATATATTGATATATATGACCTGACATCATCATATATATATATCCTAACACTATTATATACATAAATTGGCACCAGTATATATAAATAATCTAACACCATTCTATTTATATATTATAACCTAGCACTCATATGTATTATACATAGTTAATATCAATACAATATGACACTAGTTCATACATAACCAAACCCTAGCATAACTATCATAATACACGCTGACACAAGTATATGTTTTATAAATATTAGTGTTGCATTTCCTTTAAATAATGGGTTCAAAATTATCATTGATATATTATATGTAAAATTAATTTGTATGATAGTTTAGTGTACGAAAAATGTTTGACTAGTCATTGGCGCACCTACACTAAAGTGTGTTTAAATAACGTTTTGAACATTCAAATGTAACAAATACACCAAAACCTTTCGCCATCAATACCTTACTAAACGTTACTTAGTTATACTTACAGTTACTCTCACGTTAACCATGAAGTACACCGGCCGTCTTACAGCATACTCCTTGTCAAAGTCTACTTTCTGTTTCAAAACGACGTCCCCAACACTTCCAAGCCTGATCTCCACGACGCCTATCCCGTTAACCTTCCAATCAAAAGTGGATTCATCATCAAACATTTACAGTTTCGAATATCATTCTATTACACTTGTTACAAATACACACAGGTAGTATAAGACACACACCTGATCTTGTGACCACAGTAACCAGAACGTAAATTTCCTAACAAGGAACGTTTGTGGTCAGTGGTAGTTTAGTGTCAGAAGTAGATATGTAAATTTCAACCTTTCTAACATGTTCGAATTATTATAATTGTTATAAAACGTGTTTTCGATGTTGGCTACACGGAGGCCGTGACCGAAGGGTTCGAGTCACGGTACGGCATTTTGTTGTATCTTTGAGCAAGATACTTTACTCCGCTTGTTCCAGTCTACTCAGCTATAGATGAGTACATGGTTGGGCAGTGCTAGAATTGTGCAATGCTAGCTGTTAGCGCCGAAATGGCAGCTCCGGTTGTATGCTCCCAAGGGAGGTCAGAAAGGTATTGGCTGGTTGCAAAGGCCCTATAACCACGGGTAATAATTTGTGAACCGCTTTAAGACGACTTGTTAAACGTTTACATGCCATTTTGTATGCAATTGAAATGAAGAAATAATTGTTGTCAAACGCATAAACTCTACATTTTTAACCACTTAATAGAACCGACGTTCCCTCGTTTTATCATTTCTTGAGTCCTGATTTGTATCACATAAGCACTTCGCCCCGTTCCTTGACTCATCTTTTTATTTTACTTGATCAGATATATTTTTGGCTTTTATTTCACTCTTCAATTTTGATCACTCTTTGATAAATCTACCCACGTTACCTCCTTTATTTAGAGACCATCTGTGTTTAGAGACCAAGCTTAATGTTCCCCATGGTAGTGATATATAAGTTAACCTGTATTAAGAGACCACTTGTGGAAAGTGATTTTATCATTTGAAACATTCCTATCTTGTACAAAACATTTGAAATTCACTACGCTTTATGTTTGAGAGATATGACAACATGAAGTGAGATACCTGTGGGTCAATGGTATAGTTAGTGAGTCGGATGGTGTTTAGTCCGAAGTTAGGTGGACAGTCCTCATCCTTCAGGGTGTTATTGATAAGCAATAGGGTTGTACCAATAGGTGAACTCTAAAGGCAAAAAAAATACCACATGTATTAATACAGGATCATTTTTGTGACAAACATAATAACCTTGGATATCAGTGTAAGAAGTTGTGATATTACCTTGGATATCACAATTAAAAGGGGTGGTGATCTTACCTCTGCTATCGTTATTGAAAGAGGTTATACTCTTACCTCTGGTATCGTTATTGAAAGAGGTTATGCTCTTACCTCTGTTATCGTTATTGTAAGAGATGACGAACTTACCTTGGTATCGTTATTGTACGAGATGATAATCTTACCTCTGGTATCGTTATTGTAAGAGATGATGATTTTGCCTCTGATATCGTCATTGTACGAGATTATGATCTTACCTCAGGTATCGTTAATGTAAGAGGTTATAATTTTACCTCTGGTATCGTTATTGAAAGGGGTTATGGTCTAACATCAGGTATCGTTATTGTACGAGATGATGATCTTACTTCTGGTATCGTTATTGTACGAGATGATGATCTTACCTCTGTTATCGTTATTGTAAGAGATGATGATCTTACCTCTGGAATGGTTATTGTAAGAGATGATGATCTTACTTCTGGTATCGTTATTGTAAGAGGTTATGATCTTACCTCTGGTATCGTTATTGTAAGAGATGATGATCTTACCTCTGGTATCGTTATTGTAAGATATGATGATCTTACCTCTGGTATCGTTATTGAAAGAGGTTATACTCTTACCTCTGGTATCGTTATTGAAAGAGGTTATGCTCTTACCTCTGGTATCGTTATTGTAAGAGATGACGAACTTACCTTGGTATCGTTATTGTACGAGATGATGATCTTACCTCTGGTATCGTTATTGTAAGAGATGATGATTTTGCCTCTGGTATCGTTATTGTACGAGATAATGATCTTACCTTAGGTATCGTTATTGTAAGTGATGATGATTTTGCCTCTGATATCGTCATTGTACGAGATTATGATCTTACCTCTGGTATCGTTATTGAAAGGGGTTATGGTCTAACCTCAGGTATCGTTATTGTACGAGATGATGATCTTACTTCTGGTATCGTTATTGTACGAGATGATGATCTTACTTCTGTTATCGTTATTGTAAGAGATGATGATCTTACCTCTGGAATGGTTATTGTTCGAGATGATGATCTTACCTCAGGTATCGTTATTGTACGAGATGATGATCTTACCTCAGGTATCGTTATTGTAAGAGGTTATAATTTTACCTCTGGTATCGTTTTGAAAGGGGTTATGATTTTACCTCTGGTATCGTCATTGTAAGAGATGATGATCTTACCTCTGGTATTGTTATTTTACGAGATGATGATCTTACTTCTGTTATCGTTATTGTAAGAGATGATGATCTTACCTCTGGGATCGTTATTGTAAGATATGATGATCTTACCTCTGGTATCGTTATTAAAAGGGGTTATGGTCTAACCTCTGGTATCGTTATTGTACGAGATGATGAACTTACCACTGGTATCGTTATTGTACGAGATGATGATCTTACCTCAGGTATCTTCATTGTAAGAGATGATGATCTTACCTTTGGTATCGTCATTGTAAGAGATGATGATCTTACCTCTGGTATCGTTATTGTAAGATATGATGATCTTGCCTCTGGTATCGTCATTGTAAGAGATGATGATCTTACCTCTGGTATCAGTATTGTACGAGATGATGATCTTACCTCTGGTATCGTTATCGTAAGAGGTTATGATCTTACCTCTGGTATGGTTATTGTAAGAGATTATGATCTTACCTCTGGTATGGTTATGGTTAAAGGTTGTATCCTGAACTCAGGTTTGAATTCATCCACTTCGAGGTTGCTCACCGTAAAACTCTGAAACATTTTCAAGTCAACTACATAAATGCTTATGATCATTTCTAATGAATGCTGAAATATAAATTTAGACAATTTTAAACATACAACCAGTTAGGCAGATCAAAGACATATTTAGAAAAGTAATTCTAAATCAGAGTGACACCTCGTTGATCACCTGTAGGTTGGCTTTGATATTGGTCCTTAGATTTCAAATTCCAGTACAAGATAACGTTCAAATAAATAAAAAATCCTTTGTTATACATTTATCTCTTTTGATTTATAGAAGCTGTAATGGGGTACTCTATGAAGCCTCCTCAAAACAAATAAATGATAGGTTTTCATTTAAGTGTGTGTTAACATTTCTCTTTTCTGTACATTGATAGTTAAAAGGGTAAAGGAAAGAGAGTCAACTGAAACGTTCTTATCGGGACGTCATGATACAAGGAGATGTATAATCAATACTTACCAGAGGTATGGGTGCAGAATTCCCAGGATCTTTACAGGTTATACCAATGATAAATGAGTTCAGTTGCTTATTCTGTAAAATAAATTATGTCAATTTTGTTTTAACTTTTATTATCAATTTTGAAACCATTGAATAAAATAAGGGGTTTCTACAGTTTAATAATTATTACATTTAACTAATTATTGCCAATTATCCAGTTGGAAAAACCAATTATTTCATATACATAATTATAACATTTAACTAAGTATTACCAATTACCCTGTACAGATAGCTAATTATACATTTAATTACTAATTTCAAATAACCCTTTGGGATATATAATTCAATGCAACAAAAATCCTATTCTTATGACTAATTACATATTTAATTCATAATGACAATCCATGATTTACATACATAAATTTTACAGAAATAGTCTGTGTTGAGTGGTTTAAGAAGCTTGACTTCAACATGCGTGTCAGACTTTGAAATATTGATAAAGTTCTCAAACAGGTCCTGTTCCAGCGCCTTGTCAATGTTCACTGCGTTGTCAACCTCACTAAGAGTGAAGTTCCAAATCAACGTTGGTGAGGTTGTTGTGTTCAGAAGGACAGTGTCTGTAAAACAAAATAAGACAATTATCTTCGACCTTTGACGCTTAGTGACAAAAACAATGTCAAACAGACTAAGGGTAAACGTTAATAATATGAACCGGTAATCAGTAAACAAGATTGCTGAGAAATGTTGCTATATTGCTACATTTAATGTATGTCATCTTCAAACAAGAAAAACTTACCATTTTCTATTTCGCTGATACGAACGAGAGCAGGATATATTCCCTGGAGGCTCTCAACACAATTCCCATTGACTGTAATATAATAGTGAGTTCTCCATTTTTAACCTCTTTACAAAGTTATTTTGTAACATTAGTAAGTGTAATGACTATCTATCCAATCCTTAGGACATTTTCAGATTTTCTGAAACTGCAATGAAAATTACGAAGGGTTCAAATAAACATTACGAAGGGTTCAAATAAACAGAGTGGCAATTGAAATAAGGAAAGCATTGCACGAATGCAACTAATTTGGAAAATTCGTTCTTTTTATCAGTCCTCCCTAAGTATTTACTAGTCCATTCCAAATTACATTACGCCCCAACAAAGTGTGTAACTATTTCGGAACTTGTTTTTTTCCCAATCAGTATATTACAAGCACACATATTTGTAGTGTTGCAATGGAACAGTGGTACATACCAATGTTAACGAGGATAGGTGGGAAACAGATAACAATCACTATCCATGACGAAACGGCCATGACTCGGGAAGGCGTGACTGCCGGAGGTATTGATTTCTTGTCAGTGTGTTCGCTGCTCACCCACACATGTTGGTGTGACGTATTATGCTGTATGAGAAATGAAAATGCATTCATGAAAAATAAGAAATAAAAAACGAAAATCTGATTATCCTGCGATCACTTCGTTAAGATTACATCAGAAGAGAGGTTTCTACGTTAAATATCGTGATATGTGACCTTAATATGTATATATATATATATTCAAGGAATAGACTGTTGACGTTAACATCATTAAAATAAAAACCAATGTGCTTTTTAGGCAGTTCCCTTAACATAACTCTTGTTTGTTGCTAGTTTGACTTTTCCTAGACTCGCTGTCACGGGAAACATAGTAACGTACTAATATGTACACTCATAGATGTACATTGAAGATGTTGAGGTCAAGTTGACAATATGTCTTGGCATTGTGTTTTTTTAATTAAAGGGATTCTTGTGATAAAGTGAGATGGATTGTATACTTCAGGAATTCTCGTAAAACTACTAAAATTATATAAAACATCTCAAACAAAGACAAAGACAAAGTGTAAAAAAAATTACCTATGTCTCACATTCGTGACACTTCGCCTTCAAGACAAAAACTACATACACATACTTTTTTGAATATTTTGTTTTATAAGCATGGATATTGTGTCCTGTTGTGAAACATCTATCCAAAATGATAAAATATACGTGCTGTTTGTATACAAATGCCTACTGTTCTTTTACCAGCTGGACACTGACAACAATAATATGTGTACATGATCATCAGTATCTTTACTGTCATATTTGATCCAGACATTGTACTTTGTTTGAGTTTTATGTCTGGAACGAATCTGATCACGTAATAATTCTGCTGAGTTGCGATTCACACAGACCTCATAGTCACATTCAGATGTAGGGTGTTCTGAGATAACCATCCAGCTTCATAACATCAGCTCCGTCAGTTTGGAGCAATTCACGTAGCCAACCACATTGTGGCTGAAGAATATTTCTTATCTTGCACCTGTTCTTATTCAAATCTTTGAACCTAACTTCGAACTTCCAATACAGATAGACCTTATGTTGTAGTTTGTATTTCCACTACAGTTTTACTGAGAAACTGACAAAATTGACATGTCATCAAGGGTGTCAGAAAACAAAAGAATAAGGGACAAGCTTCCAAGTATACTTTACGAAGGTTCTGGCGTGTCAGGTGGGTAAGTCTCAATTGTAGACAGGTCAGGTATTCCATCAAGTAGAAGTACGATTTCAAACTGAACAGATAGGTATAATACGACCTATTAGAACATTATAGGTTGGAACACACCTTTTATTTAGCCATGTGTAGGAATCTGAATAAGTGACTGAGTATGGTGTTAATATTACTACAAGATCAATCATTGATGAATTTCGCAATAATTTACATGCAGGTAGATAAATGGCAAATTTTCAAAGAGATTGCACTTCATTTAAAGCGTTGTAAATAAACGTTAGCGGTTTCAGAAAAAAAAAAAATTTTTACCATACAAGGAATATATATGTAGCATATTTTGTTAGCAATAACATTTGGATTGACACTATAAACACGAGGAATGTGAACACGAGGAATGTGAAGTTATGTCAAGTGATCTGTTTAGCTCAATTTGAACGCCAGTTTTGAAAAAGAACCCAGTACTAGCTTCACAGAGTCTAGTAATTACACAAATCAAAACAGGTAATTACACAACTACACCAAAAATAGCATTAAAATGATTATATCTGCAGATACGAGAGGTGAAAAAGATAAACACTCAACCATAACAGAAAAAGCCTCAAATGATAACAACTGTAGATTTAGAAAATCAAAATAGGTAAACAAACGACTATACCAGAAATAGTATAAAATGATAATCGCTGTAGGTACTGAATGGAACAAGGTAAACAAACCACTTATAAATGTATACGTGGAACAGCCTATACATGATATTTGCTATAAACACGTTAATTAAAAACAGTCGACACACAACTTTTCCAGAAATAGCCTAAAATGATAATCACTATAGATACAGAAGGTGTAAAGGTTAACACTAAAAGATACTTGAAATGACCTAAAACTGATAATCACTGTAGATACAGAAAGCGAAAAAGTAAACACAACTATACCGGAAATAGCTTACAAATGACTATCGCTGTAGATACAGAATGTAAGAAGATAAACACAAAATTATACCAGAAAATAACATTGAATGATTATCGTTTTAGATACAGAATTTAAGAACATAAACCAAACGACTATACGTGAAATAGCATTAACCTGATCATCGCTGTATAGCTACTGTGAGTATAAATGTAAAAAGATGACAACTGCTGTAGATTCTGAAGTATTTAGCGGTTGTGTTCATAATTAGGATGTTTTATATTTCAAACGAGACAAATGTGCTGAAATCAAAATAAAAACATCTTCAGAAACATTCCAGCTTTAGTAGTGGTGTAGAGTAGAAATGGCCTGATCCCCACAATAACAATGTCTGAGAAATACAAGTAGACGGTAGAGTTATACATATAGAGCGTAGTCATACTACAGACACATACGTTAACTACTTGTCATTGCAATTGTAGAACAGTAATGAAAATGAGTAAACATACTTTCCCACATGTTCCAAACTAGTGAAATCCATGGTTGCCACATTAAAAACGCTAAAAAGGTAAGTTATAAAAAAAGATACTATCTCCTGTCCTCTGAAGCTGGCTTTTGTTGTATGGGCACTGATTTCAGAATGACAAATGTGTTATCTTTAACGCCAAAAAGTAATATATATTTTCAAATATGATGCCCACTTTGTCCACTTCGTCATGAATATATTGATTTCATAAGGAATTTTTTTTTACATTAAAACGGCTTATATATGGTACAAAAAATATCCCCCACGACCAAAATACGTCACTGTCATTGCTACTTATACAGCAATGTTATGTTAAACCTGTTGTCGTGTCTTTGTCCATGTCCACATACTTCCTCTTTCCCTGGGATTGACAGTTTATTTCAAGATGTATTAATCTTAAACATTTATCTCGGATTTCAATTTGCTAGGAAACGTATTTACATGTATATAGGTGATATTGTTATTTGTGATGAGAATGATCCTTTGAAGAATATTTTTTTTAACAGGATGATTTCCCGATAGATACGTCAATGAAATGATTATTGATTTATTTTCATTTCCTTGATCTTATTTAGGAATACTGTGGCGTATCTGTTGTTGTGTCAATGACATGTTTAAATGTCATAAATTGAAAAACAGAAAACGTGTCACACACACATCAACATGTTCAGATTCTTCCTCTTAACGTGGGATTGACAGATTATTTACAGATGGTTAATATTCAACATTTACCTCGATTAACTTACATTTGTGCTTCTCAAGACACGGATTTCAATTTCAATTTGCTAGGAAACGTGTTTACATGTACGTGATATTGTTATTGGTGATAAGGAAAGTCCTATGAAGAATGAATCAATTTTTTCTTAACATGATGGTTTTCTCATAATTAATCTCATTTATGATTACTGTATATAACACGCTGTTGTGTCAATTACATGTTTAAATGTCATTAAATGAATCACAGAAAACGTATCACACACAAAGCAACGTTTGCAAACCACTGGAAAGTAACCAGGTCGTATTAAACACCGTAGACACCATGAACATTTGAAGCAAAATGATAACACAGGTAGCAATTGATTATATATGAAGTGCAATATTTTTTGTGTATATTTGATTAAAGGGGTAGGGACCCGTAAGGATTGATCTTTTTGCAAAAGAGCTTTAACCGAGCTGAGTAAAAACATCAAAAGCTTTACAAAAAATCTTCTATTTTCAGAGTTAACCCGATAGGATCAAATGTTTTAAGGGAATATTATCACACCTTTAAAAAAAAAAAAATCCATGGGATTGATCTTTTTATCCCCTAATTTTATCCTCTGAGTTAGTGGCAATACTGGAGTTGCGGGAAGAGTATGTCACAGCCAGTCTTTGTGAAAGAAACTAAGAGAAAATAAGAAACTTTAGGTACAGTTGTGGGATCGCACAACGTTACACGATGTGCGGTGTGCGCACGATGTGTGCATGAAGTGCGAACGATAAAAATTTGGACGATCATTGCTTGCGCACACTTGTGCGGACGATCGACGAACGTTGTGCGATAACAATCGTGGTTGGTGTAAATTGAGGAATGGCTTAACAATATATACGGTTTGGTGTTTAAACATATAAACTTGATTGTTTAGTACGTTTCTATATTTAGCTACAACTATAAGCTTATCTTTCTGTCTATACTTTAGAAATGGTTTGTTCTGTTTTTTAAACGACCTTAATGTACACATGTAAAATTACAACACAGTCTCGGCAACACAGGTAAACATAGCCACTTTGTACCTCGACCGTAGTTTTCCCCCGCCCGGGGCACTTACGTAACTCGCCAAGGTATGAAAACCAGGTGAAGGAGAGCTATTAATCGAAACGAATGCAAATAACAAATACTAAACGTCCTGTTGTGATTTCATAACTGTCATACGGTATCACATAGCAGCTATATGTGTCAGGCACAGGCCAGGTAACACTCCGGTCACTCATCAAATTGTTATTTACCTGTTCTGTTACCTATCTAGGAGCCAAATCCATTCTTGACAGCCTAACGGTCACTGTAATACTGTGTTACATGCATTGTAAAATTGTACATAATGTTAATTATTGTATTGAGAAATTACAATAATAAATACAATCTACATTATTGCATACAAGCCTTCCATATTTTTTTTCATTCCGTAATATTGATCAACAAATTGTACAAAATAGCACAGATGTGCGGAGAGAAGCGCACAACGGGGCGAACGATTGTTAAATCGCCCAGTTGTGCGCACCATGTACATGTGTGGACGATGTATGCACGGTGTGCGCACGGTATTTTTGATGCGTTGTGCGGTCACACAACTGTAGCCACAACAAAATAATGTTTCAAATATCCGTTTTTCAATTCTTATAAATATTTAGAACTTGTGGTAATCTATATGCTCCAATAGTAACACTTGGTCTTCGGATCTATTGCTTCCTTTTCTCACTTCCCTTCTTTTACTTTCCGGCAGTGTCCATCGAGCACTATACTTTATATGTCCATAGCATTCATTTGCAGGAACTTTAAACTCCAAAGGTCATTATTTATAGTAATACATACTGATTTGAAGTTAACCTTTCATATGGTAAAATTACATCTAAATGTTGCATTTCCATGGTATATAAGATAGGAAATATGTCTCCTGTTTATGTGATATTCAGAAAAAGGTTATGTGCGCACCATGTGTGGACGATGTATGCACGGTGTGCGCACGGTATTTTTGATGCGTTGTGCGGTCACACAACTGTAGCCACAACAAAATAATGTTTCAAATATCCGTTTTTCAATTCTTATAAATATTTAGAACTTGGGGTAATCTATATGCTCCAATAGTAACTCTTGGTCTTCGGATATATTGCTTCCTTTTCTCACTTCCCTTCTTTTACTTTCCGGCAGTATCCATCGAGCACTATACTTTATATGTCCATAGCATTCATTTGCAGGAACTTTAAACTCCAAAGGTCATTATTTATAGTAATACATACTGATTTGAAGTTAACCTTTCATATGGTAAAATTAAATCTAAATGTTGCATTTCCATGGTATATAAGATAGGAAATATGTCTCCTGTTTATGTGATATTCAGAAAAAGGTTATTCGCGAAGGGAGGGAATGTGTTGATACATGTCCCATTAGCTATCTATGTAAGGTCCCACAGCAATGCCTCTACCCAGTCACTTATACAGCTAAGTATACGGTTAACAACTTGTCTGCGGCTTTACCGAGCTATACGTGAAATGTATCGCAAGGCTTTGTGAAATTCATAACGTTATCAGCTATGACTAATTCAGAAAGCAGCTAGGCGGGCTGTATGTGTTTTTATTACATTGTTGGTACCCATATCTGAGTAACAGCTACCTTTAGATATCGGGTGTATTAATAAGATTTCAACATATTTTTGTATATTGTCGTTTAATGTTTAAGATGTTTTTGGTGACATATAGATATTATTGGATGAGCAAACTATTCATATAAGATTCATTATACCATGATATTTTTTCTATGCGAAAATAGTGACAATTATAAACATTTCTCTGGCAGTGGTTAAGTGTTCAACGACACCATTCTGAAGTTGATGACGTAACGTCTATCTTTATGATTTGACATTATGATAAATCAATCTGTTACGTCAGAATTCAAAGGTTATAACATCAGCTACATAAATAGTAACACGGGTTTATAAACTGAGTAGCGCACAAGATATACACTTGTTTACATTACCAAACACATAATTATTCCGAATGATTATGATAATGTAAGACTCGGAACTCCATTTTATAGTTTCTTTATTAATTTTGTCGGAATTTCTTCTTATGTCTGAAATATCAATGGTATTGACAATGTATAAACCATGATCAAGCCGGACGCAGTTTGTATCAGGATCTTCTTCATTAGTATAATAAATTAGCATACTGTTGTGTACGTAAAGTAGTAGCGATCTGTTATATTTTCACAAATGTATTACTAATATATATCACTAGAAGTGAGTTTACACATTTGTCTTGTGTTCGATAGAAATTCCAATTTCCACTGTGGTGTATTATCTCAATTCGGCTCATACACTAAACCTGTTTACTTTATCCTTAAACACTGGTAAATATTTAGTAATAAAAGTCTTCGTGTGGTTTTCTACGTTTCTCATCAGACTGACAGTCATCCTTTTCAAATGGACGTCAATTGTGTATACAAAGACTTGTCTTAATACCGACGACACCGGACATCAAGCAATTTGAGAGGTGATAGTATTGTAAATTGATCAATATTTGGCAAACGAAGAACCAGTTTATAGCACTATAGCGATAGCGATTGTAGTCAACTCCGATTGCTTATATTACTTAAAACGAATCTTGAGTCTTCGTTTCAAAGGTAATGTATAACATTCCTGAGAGGTCTAAATAATGAAATATTGTTGGAACCACGTGTTTTAACACTGCAGCACGACTATGCAATAGTCACGGAAACAACAATATCGACATCTGTTTTAAAAACATAAAAATTAGAGCATAAAAAAGAAGTTTTAATGACTTTTTAAAAACACACAAGTGCACAAAAATACAATATTCAAATATGTTTTGTAAACACACTACAGCACGGTTATACAATATTTAAATCTTTTTCTAAGTCAAATTAGAGCATTTGTCACATCTCATAATTTCGAACAGACTCGGATTTTGTTTTCATCGACTGTCCGCCTGAAAATAAAGTATTCTATTGTGTCAGTGTTAATTGTATAAGGGCAGTGCGATGCTTTTTAGATTGGGATTTTTGCAATATATAAGTAAATTTACAATTACAACTTTTATATGGAATATCCACTGTGTGTAAACAATCAAGAGAAAGTGGTATATTTTACAGTGTTAAAATATAGAATCCTGATTAACAGAAATAAGACATTAACTGTCGTTTATATGTGAGAATTCTCAACAGAGCAGACACATACACACATTGTCACTTCCGCGTTGTGATCAAAGTCTAACTTTGAATACATGCCGCTCTTTATAATACGTTCTCCGTTTGGTTATGTAAAATAATCGTTACGCTATTTTCAGGTATATATGTATTCATCCTAAGGTAAAGCTACACACTTAAGTTAACTTAATGTCTTATTCCAATTTAGCATCGTGTACCTTGTCACATACTAATTGAGTGAATGTAATCACTTAAAGTCATATTTGCAACACAGGTAACAAATGTCTTCAAGTGCAGCTTGCAGAGGACCATGTTTTGAGTACATTAGTAAAGTTTATTTTTATAATGATGCATAAGAGCTTTTTTATCAGTTTACATATATATCCATGTTTATTTTCAAAATTATACATGTAAATATGTGAACCTTTATCCAACTATTACTCTAGTAATGATATGTATAAATAACTATAATTGCAAGTACCACAGTATACACTGAAAACAATTCAACAGAAATAAGTAGTGCTTTCATTGTTGTTAGAAGCAAGATATGATTATTTTCTCCTTCATTTGTGTGAAACGTGATCATTCATTTGTATAAAACGTGAATGACATCACAGAAAATGAATCCATACCTGTCAATCCCAATGTTTTCCTGTATTCTCTCTCCAAGAAATTTGTGGTAAGACCTATCCTGTATTTTCCTCTGCAACAAGGTTTAGAACCCGTATATCCAAAGTGTTATAGCTGGTTATAAGTTTATAACATAAAATCTACTCCTTTGTGTTTGTAGTAGGGAACTCAGATTTCAGCGGGAGGAATTCGGCAATGTATATCACATCATTCCTCTTTTTTAGTTTTCTTTGATAAACCACCCCTAATGGCAGACAACAGGAAAATTGGTGTACTGTGTTTGCTTGATAAATGTGAACAAGTTACGTGTCCCCCTGATCAGTCTACATGTAAATCCAGGTAACCTAGGTGTGGAGAGATAAGAGAAGTACGGGAGCTAGCCAGCGTTGATAGATTTAATTAAGCATTGAACTGTTTTTGTATGGTATTTATGATCTATTTGAAAGACACAGCTTTGCAAGCAAACAACATAATGCGCGCTAATACCATACAAAAACAGTTCAATACTTATATTTACGTTTTCTCTGCCTCTTATGTTCTTTTTTAACTTATATTTTATATCTAAAATGAAAAATGCCCGCCTTATCGACAGTCCACACAATTTCGTTCAATAGTTTGAACAGCGTATTGTCGCGTGCTGATTGGCAAACAAAGTTAACAAACACTTCGATTTTATTCCACAATTCATTATAATACAATTGCGTATGCTATGTCTATAGGGTGATTTACGTTTATCAATAGAAATCTGAGCTGAAAGTTAGATTTTCGCGCATGGATAAATACAGTGAACACCGTGAATACGACCTTGACCTCCACGAGGGAGTTATTTTTGGAAGTTAATTCGAAAGTTTCTCTTTGCTCATTTTGTGAAGAATCCAGATGTGAATTTACTTGTTGATTGTATGGGAATCTGACTACAGTCGGTACAGAATCTATAACAGCCTCGTTATTCGACATGTCGTGATCAGAAACTAAGGAAACCGTTGCTGCGTGACGCGTGGAACTGATATCGTTTGAAGTGAGTGATCTTGCGACGGAGCACAGGGGTCCGTTATAAATGTCTAAAATGTTTATGTGTGCTGTGACTCATATCAGTAGGTCTGTACCATATGTGTCAGTAGGTCTATAGAATATGTGTATTTCAGACATTTGTAACTAACCCCTGTTGATCAGTGCAGTGTAACAGACGATATTTCAGATAAATTGCATGAGTGTTAAAATTGTTTCCATTGCCGGCATTGGTGATTTCAACCGATGTGCATTTTGTACGATATTGCAGACCTTGGTCTTGTTTTTGTTGTAATAAAAATAATTTTTATTTACTATTTTCTTTTGCACATAAATTTACAATGACATTGTCAAGTCTCACAATTTCCAGCGATATTTCAGCAGCCGTCATGTTTATTTACATTGGATATTGTAGTTCCGGTCAGTGTTGTATTAATACGCTAAGAATTGTGTCTCGTGCTGCATGGTAATTAAAGTCCCATCAACAACACAGCTTTCAAAGAGGCTATATAGTGACAATGCCATGCAAATGTTAATATTGTGGTTTGATAGCGAGGGAGGGTTTATGCTGGCGCATATTTCCAAATGTCGTGATTGTTTGATTAATGTTGCTTAACGGTATTGTTCCGGTAAGTACAGAAACACCTGACTATCCAAAGTCTATTCGCTGATGGCGTATGACTGCAGATAGAATGACACATACGCTGCATATAAGTATATTTAAAATTTGTTCTGATGTGTTAAAATATCAGCTGAGATCCCCTCCTCCCACAGCATTACACAGAAACGCTGGGCTATCCAAAACCTACACGCTGCTGGAATTTGGCTGAAATAGAGTGACTCACACGACTAAATTAATTAATTAATAAACAAAGACACAAAAAAGAACAAAGGAGGTGAGTTTTAATGAATGTTAAATCTTACCGTATGAGAAAGGTACAGAACCAGTCACCTATGAAAATACCTCATTAGTCTGTCCCCTGTCCAATTGATATCAATGTATCTGATGCCTTTTACGATGCAACACTGCAATAACGTATGCTTATTTTATTATCCATTCAACAGTGCACGCATTTCCGGTATAATTTGAACATCAGGTGAAAATGTTAGGAATTACCTATTTTAAAAACAGTGAGTCAATACAGGAAGCATAGAAAGGGGAAGCCTTTACTGCCCCACGAGTCAATTTTATCCATTTAGAATTTAACGTTGATGCATACATGTACTTGAGGTAAAGAGAAAGACAATCTATGTGTTAATTGTTCCACGTGTAGAAATTAAGCTGGAGGGCGTATAAAACCCTTTTTAATCATACAGATTTGTAACTATCGGCGACAAAAGATTTTTTTTTTCACGCAAATCATTTAAAAATAAATTCCAACAAAAATCTGTACTGTACATACTAGCTCTCCACACAAAAAAACTATGAAAATTATCGACTAAGACATACATTTCTCCCGCTTTTTTACTTCTGAGCTCGAAAAAATAACGTTATCTCGAGTAAATCACAGAAAGTATGTCACTAACGAAAAAAGACGAGGAAAAAAAATGAAATTAGAAAACGACTTCATCTTTGTATTTCATCGTCACGATTTAGATATTATTATAATAACTCTCTCATCGTTTATGGATGCAGCAGAGTACTGATACTTTGTCAGGTGAATCGTGTTTGTAAGCGTATTTTGTATTTACTTGTCTCACGGATTAAGCAGAATCTTGTGTTTACTTTTTATCGTCAATGAAAGAGCGTCCTCTAGTGTTGTCAACATAAACCAAGTGTACATACTTAAAACTGTTCAATTATTGAACGAAAATTGTAAACCTTATAGCATGTACATTGCTAAAAGGTAAACGGCGCTCACCTTACTTGAACCAGTTTTCTCTTTTATATAGCTTCGCTTACAATAAATTTAACCCGAAATAATGCGGCTTGATGACGTGACAAAACATTGTTGTAAGGAAACCACCCATTACAAACCAAAAGTTCATCCAAAACACAACGCCAGACATAACGTCCTAAAAATGTTATCAGTTTCCTCTCACTGTGATTGGTCAGACGTAGCAGAGATGTATGACCTCATCGGAACAGATATGCGATAAAATTGAAGACGAAATAAAACATTGATAATTCAAAGACTCTACTTGAAAACAGTAAAATTAGCATGATGATAGATACATGAATGTAGATTGATTGTAAAACAATGAAATTGTTTTTTGTTTCTCTTACATTTTATCTGTTGACATAAAATTATCAGGATCAATTTAAAATTATATATTTTAACACGTCGGATTTATTCCTCAGTGTTTCTGATAAAAATTACACCTTAGCCAATTCAAATGTAAACAAGACTAATGAAAAATTGCTGTCGAAAAGAACTGCCGTAAATGACAACAACAGATCATTAAAATACTGATTTTAACAAATGTCAATAAGACATACAACTGAATGTCATATATAGGGTAGTATTGTCACTGATTCATAACACGATTGGGGAAGCATCGACCTTGGTTGTCACATATATCGGGCTGGAATCATAACTGATTGCCGAAGATGTAGTACTACCACAACATATGTGACCATCAGTTATGATACTAGAGCAATCATGCTTCCCAGACATTTGTGGCCATCGGTTATAATACTACAACAATCATTTATGATGATACCTAGATATTTGTGGCCATCGGTAATGACACCACGACACTCATTTATGATGCTACCCAGATATTTGTTGCCATCGGTAATGATACTACAACAATCATTTATGATGATACCCAGATATTTGTGACAATGTGTTATGTTGGGGTAACATTACAACTGATTGTCACAAATGTCAGGTTATTATCACAGCTGATTGTCGGGTAAGTATCATAACTCTCGACCAGCAACCATTTTTTTTAAGGGCAACCAAAAATAAAACCATATCTACCCAGTCGGAGAGAACGACAGAGGAGGTAGTCCCCTTTCAACTCGATACTGGTCCTACTTATTTCACTCATGCTGAATAGGAAGATCCACATACATGCCACGAATGTGACTCCCAGTTTACACCGGAGCAACTTGTAATGGCACGTACAGATTTTAGATACATTCATGATAAATACTTCCATGTCCCGGACATGAAAACGCTACTCACGTCCATAGACTTGGAACCATTATGTAACCATAGAAGAAACTGTTTTATGATATATGATTCCGTTAACCTACATCTTTTTACGGCATTAATACATTATATCTTTCCATTTCAATCTTTACACGTATTTTACCCAGAGTTTTGTACCCCCCTGCACTTTTATTTACCTAAACTTACGCTTCTGATGATTTTATGAGATGTACGAGTTTTTAATTTTTAATATAGTTATAGTTTTGACATCTCAAAAGGTCGCTCATGCTAAAACTAAATGATCAAAGTTGTCAATGGGCCGTTAAACTCAAACAGACAAACAATCTGATTGCCACAAATATCCGGGTAGTAGTATAACGGATGTACCTAACCTTCATACGTGGTCAGTCAGTCTTTGATAGTAATAATTGTGCTTTCCTTTGCCATATTTTGTTCGTGGAAACATAGTATACCAACATTTTTGTGGTCGTGTCTGTTTCCTAACAGCGACAGTCGGCTGTGTATATAAACATACACCTGTTTGTACGATTGTTTTCTACTCTGTGATGATACCACGGTCAGGACACCAGGCTTTTAGCACCATGGCATTATAACAACTAAGCCAAGTCTTAGTACACTTTTCTATCGTTATCATTGTCCCAAACCGTGAATGTCACGGGTTTCTTACAGGAAATATAAACAGAAAACATATTGATTGCCACATCTGGTGCAGATAATACTCAGTCTGGCTTGAATCGAACATCTAGCTGTATGCTTTATTATTATTATTTTGATTTGGAATTGGATATTTCTTCCCTTGCTAGATCTTGTTTATATATAATAGGAATTACTGCGTAGAGATGTCACTATATAGTTCAAATATCTCCACTCAAAAGTTATATTTGTGTACTGATATTTTGTTTTGTTTTTGTTTTGTCTGTGGCGAACATACATGGCGTTGTCTACCGACGCTACGTAAAATGCACATATCATTATTTAAAATATTATATATTGTCTAGCATTTAACATATTGTCATAATTATATCAAATGTTGATTGAAATTCATATTCATTGAACTGAATTGCTCACTTTACTTTTATTATGTGTCGTCAATATCTTGGTTGTTCTATAATATCTTAATACTTTGAATGAAAACTTTATTACAAGCGCTACTCGAATATAAACCTAAACACAGCGCATACTTATACCTAAACCTGCTCATAACGCCTATTCATATGTGA